AAATGTATTAAAGTAATTGCACAATACAAATAATGGTGTCTTGTCCTAAATTAGTTCCGAGTTTTGATAATAAAGTTTTTCCTAGGCAACATGCCGTTTTTCAACTGAAACTTTTTACCCAATAATATAGAAAATAGCAAACTAAAAACTTTAAAACATTTTCCAAAACTTTATAAGTTTGTGTTACATCCTATAAAAATATTAAAAAATATTGGATTTGCAGTAAAACTTCTTCACTTAAATAAGGACGAATCACATCATAAGAAAAATCAAATATTTATTTACGTCAAGTTTACTGAGATATTAAATTTGATATTTTACACATGAGAAGTTTTGCTTGATTAGAAGATAATTTGACGCCGATTTCCTTTTCAATGCCCTTTAATTGTGGTAATGACAATTTTATAAATTAGATAGTTTGGCAACAAAAATGAGTACCTATATGTAATAAATATTATGATTATAGTAAAATTGAAAAAAATCTCCCCCTATTATCTTTTTAACGAAAAAAGTTATCGACATTGGAAAAAAATATTAAGTATACTACTTTTTAACGTTAAATTGATAGGAGTGCCGAGAGGGCAGTATCAACTTAAAAGTTTCAAATGGAAAGGGGGGGCTTGTGATACCTTATTTAAAAGGTATTTCGATTCTCTATTCGATACTATTTAAATTTATAAAATCCGTTTAAAGGTTTATTATATAATATAATATATATTAATACATTATATAATAGTTACTTGTTATTATTTAAAAGTGCTAAAAATATTAATGAATTATTTATCATTTAAAACATTTAAATAATTATGTTAATTTTGTTTGAATTAACTAATAACTATCTTTTATTTTTAACAAATTTAAAGTTTTCGAGGTTAACATGTATTACTCTTTATAGTGAGCATATCGAAAAAATTCATAAAAAAATAAAAAAACCCTAGATAAAGCATAAAAAAGTAAAAAACTAAACTAAATATTGTAACAACTACTTAAAAATATGTATGTATATTAACATTTTTAAAAAAATGTGAATTTTGAATATTTTTTAAAAAATTGTCTTTTAAGTAGGTAGGTACCCACTTTTGGTTACAGGTTCATTAAGGATTTTTTTGTAGAATATAAAGTATCCTTCTACCTATGTGTATCTTTTTTTATTTGAATAGGTTATATTAGAAAAAAATTGCGTGGTCTTGCATTTAAAAAAAAATTTTTAGTTTTTAGTTTTTGAGAACCGCTGTACATATAACTAAATCATTTAAAACTAAAAAAAATGCAAAAATTTAATCATCATATATGGAGATTTAAAAAAAGAGTTTTTGATGATTAAATTTTTGCATTTTTTGAGTATACCTACCTACTCAAAGAAATCGCTTTTAATGTAATTAATTAATTAAACTTTTTTTACTTTGGTAAAAATATTGTACCTAATTAAAAGAAACGTAGACAATCCTAAAATGTAACAAATTACTTAAAATTTATAAATTATAAAATGTGAAATATGTAGTAAATACCTGAGCAAAACCTATTGGAATATAAAAAATTTAAAACTCATAATTTGTGAAAAACCCTGTAAAAATATATTCCTAGAATAAACATTAAAACTTGCACAAAAAAATCGGTAATTTTTTTAAGTGTAATTATGTAGGTATATATATACCTATATGTATACATATGTATTAAATTAAATTGTATTTTATTTACTATAAAAGAAAAGTTTTTCTATTAAACCCGCAATCAGGTGAAAAGAATTTTAACACGGTGTTTTCCTTACAAAAATACCATAAAGCTTGTAAATATGGATATGTAAAACAATTGAAACATCATGTATAACCTGAATATATCGCCAATTTTCTATATTAAATATTTTCGTAATTACATTGTTTATTATTTAAAGAATTTAATATATTTATGGATTTTTTGATAAATGATATTTAAATTAAACTAAATTATTTAATTTTTAATGAAATAATTATCATTTTTTAAGAGTTGACTCATATTTGACCTATGTTACCGATAATTATAATTAGTTATAATTATAATTTATTTTGTTAAACAAAACACGTATTCAATATTAGTAAACTATAAAAACGATATATTTATTTTTATTTATTTATATATATATCCCAGCAAACCAAATCATGTCACAGTGATATAACATTTACATAAAAATTGTTCCTTACTATGCAACAGCTATGTCACCTATATGTAATGGCAATGCTCCTATGTCCGCCTCAAGACGCCTTCCTGGGTATGTAACTGTGATGTAACATTGTTTTATCATAGTTATGTAACTGTAATGTTACAGCTCCATATCAGTTATGTAACAGTGATATAACATTTACTTAAAAATTGTTCCTTACTATGCAACAGCTATGTCACCAATATGTAATGGCGATGCTCCTATGTCCGCCTCAAGACCCCTTCCTGGGTATGTATCTGTGATGTAACAGTGTTTTATCATAGATATGTAACTGTAATGTTACAGCGCCATATCATAGTTATGTAAACGTGATAAAACAATTATATTCTATTTACATAAATGTTGCATTTACTTATTTATATATAATTTATGCAATATTTACATATTATTTATGAAATATTTATAAATATAATTTCATGTAATATATTATCTTACTGGTATTAAAAATTGCTTAGCCCTAACTTGGTATTATGGCAAATTTTTTGAAAAAAAATCAACAAAATTTTTAAGTTGCCATATTACCAAATTAGAACTAAGAAATTGTTAATACAAGTTAGATAATATATTAAATAAATTATAAATAAATATTACATAAATAATAAGTAAACATTACAAAAATAAATGATTCTGAAAGAGATTAAAAAAAAAACAAATTGGTTTAAATGTTTATTAAATATTATTTTAATTAAAAAAAAATCATTTCTTCTTTCCAACTTCTTAAAACAAACGAAAAGTTTTTCCAAACTTTAACAAAAAAAAATCCTGAATACATTAATACTTCAAAGCTAAAAAATATATGGTAAAAAAGATAAAGCAATCTCATGAATTTAATATTAATATACCTTATTTTCATGTGTTTTTTGCTTCCCTACCATATCTTTGTTTGGCCTGCCGGAACCATTCGGAAACTATGCCAGCAGCTTAAAAAAATTTATTTAATAAAAAATCCCATAAAATTTACATTTTTACCCTTTAATATTTCAACAGTTTTTAAATTTTGAATTTTATTGTTATTTCTTAGCCCCAGCCAAGAGCAATCTTTTGCCAAATTATTTGAGAAAATTTTCTTTAGAACTCTTACTGTGGCATCTTTCTCTGAGACGCCTCCAATTTTTGTTATATACTGAAACTGAAAAAAATACAATTTAATATTATTTTTGTTTATTGACTTGTTTTCAAAACAAATAACTTTTTATGTAGTTTTGTAAATGATATTTGGTACAAATAATAATTTGTTTGATTTTATTAATTCAAGTCAAATGCACGTGTTAAGGTTGCAACACGTTCACTGCCGAAGTAATAGTCCGCCCTTGTTGCAGTGCCGATGGCTTTTTTTAGAAATTTTAGATAAAAATGGACTAAAACTTGTTTCTTTCGTTTCTTATTGAAAGGTTCTATATGAAAAAATACTAAAACAAAAAACAAATAAACAAACGCGGTAGACGCGTTGGCGGCACCCAGCGACAAAAACCATGCTATATGCCACCGTACAGAACGCGGGTCCCGCGTGCTCGGCATATTGTAAAATACACAAGAACGCGGTAGCCGCGTTGCCGGCAGTTAAAGTGTTAAGAGATATAAAAATAATGAAAAATATGGAATTTGCATAAAATTAATTGTCACAACAATTATAATAAAAAAGTGCATCCATCTTGGTTATTTAGCAAAATTATTGTATCTTTTAAGTACCAGTTGAAAAAACAGTATAAAGTTAAAAAATTATAGAAATTAAACTCTTATTTTGGCTACCAAATATCATTAAATTATAATTTGTCGCTTGTTTTTTAGCACCCTGTTTTAAAAACAAATTAACATTATCAAACAGGTTTAAAATCGCCCTTTATATACTTACAAATTCAGCCTCTACTTCTTTTTGCAATAATGTTTTCTCAAAACTTTTAACAGATCATTAATAAAAAGTTGACTAGGTAAGTAACTATTACACAAATCTTGCAAATCTTCCACAAAAGTATGGGAATTTTTCCTATGACCTCCTGAATATTCTCCCAAATTTTCTGTAAAAATATTTTTATTATATGTTTATTTATTGGCTGGTTAGGGAAAGATAATACTTTGGTTTTAGCCTCAGAATTCTACATAGTCTTGGGTATTTTCTATACAATTTCTTACCTCAACGCCCATTATTTTGAGATCTGCATTAATTCTCCTCCGCTTTTGCCTCCAGGATAGGGAAATATATTTTTTTCTTCCATTTTATTATAAAAAAATGAAATCAAACTTAACTTAACTTAAAACACAATAGAGAGCACTCGACACAACCGTTTAAACGAGTTCGTTAGTAAGATAAAAAGGCTATATAAATACTATAAAACATTAATATATAACATTTATATATCATTGTTACAATGTAGGTATAAAACATTTTTATATAGCCATGACATAATAGGGATGTAAATATAACAAGAAGGGATCATTTTGATATAACTATTATATTAAAATGTTTTATTATAATTATGTAACAAAATAAAGAAAAACCATGTAAATACCATATAATAAGGTTATATGGATACTATAAAACATTGCCATATATCAATGATGTATAATTGTTCCATTGTAGATATATAACATTGTTATATGGCTGATACATAAGGGGGATGTAAATATAACAAGAGGGGAACATATTTATATAAATGTTATATTACTATGTTTTATCATAATTATGTAACAAAATAAAGAACTAATAAGTAAATGTTATGTAAACAATTTTATATGGCAATGTTCTTTGTTAGTTATATCATGGTTATGTAAATGGAACAGCCTGGTTTGCTGGGATATCACATACCATTTTCTATCTATCCAAAATTATCCATATTTTAAATACCACTGTCACTTTTTTAAAACACAACCACTATCAAAAATGCGCGTAATTAACAAAATTGCCGTCAAATGACTCGCGTACGTGTTTTGTTTTATGACAAATGCGCACAACTTCCCCTATCGCGATTTGACAGTCGCGACCACGGCCAACTACTGTCGTAAACTAAACAAACTCTCCACATGAAATTCTCTATCCGCGCTCCGCAAGGCGCAACAGTTGAAACTTGTGCAATACGCACCGATAAAAAAAATCGAGTCCTTGGGCAATATGAGATCCTTAAGGGGATGATTTTTAAGTCAATTATTTTTAAGGCATTTATCAAGATTATAAAATATGTTAAAGGCTAAATAGATATTTATACCCTGTACGACCGTGTAGGTTTCGAAAACTAGTTCTAAGTTAATGGTTTTTTTATTTTCATTTTAAGGAATCTCATCCTAAATTGAATCACCCTGTACAGAAACTGTAGTTTAGAACACCCTGTGGATAATATATTGCCACTTTTATTAATGTAATTTAGGTAATCATTAAAGGTAAAATTTTGTACAAATTCACTGGTGTCCTATGTAGGCAAAAAAATATGCAATTTTTTTTATTTTTTATCTTTGTTAAAGATCCTAAAAAATCAATTTTTATAACAAAAAATGTGTCTTGCAGGTGAACAGCAATTACTTAATTAGCAATACATTAAATATTCATTGTATAGGTATCCACATTTAATTACTTATATGCTTAAAGAATATTTAATTAAAAATTCCATAGAGTCCAGGTATTCTATTTTAATATTTATAAGCTATAATTTTCTCTTTCAATGCATCTAAATTAAAAAAAAAGTGTTTTCGCAAACAAAATCAATCATAATTTGAATCATTTTTTTTTAAATTATTTTTCAATAGATAACATACCTACAACCATAAAAATTCCAATTTAATTATTTTCTCTTTGCTTTTTTTATTTTACACGTTATTAAAGCAATTATCCGTATTGATAGCAAAGCCAATTAACCGCATTCAGTGTTTTTTGATGTGCCGGGCTAATAAATTACTTTTCAGGTAATTAAAACTCGATTGAAACAGAAAAACACAAAAATATCTGACTTTTTAAACTAATTTTATGCAACCAGTTTTAGAATCGTAGAATACTGGGTTGCATAAGTTCATAGTAGATAAAGTGATGTCCTGTAATATCGGTTATGTCATAAACAGCTGACTGCCGACGCGTCGGTAATGTCAATTCTTGATAGATGTCGGTATAAACAAAATATAAAATATAAACACAAAATAGGCGTGACATTTTCAATATTCCTTTCTGATTAATTATTGTTTAGCCAGTTTTCCAGCCGTAACATGTCGCAAAACATGATTTTAACAGGTAAAACATTTTTGTGTGCTTTTTAAAGATGTTAAATTTTGTTGACTTTTTAGGTAATTTAGACATGTTACACAGTTTGTACGACTTTAAGGCGACTTACGCGAAAACTATTAGTTTCAAAACGAACGAATACTTTATTTTACACCAGACCACCACAAAACACAAAAATTGGTGGGAAGTTATTAACGAGAAAGGAGAAATGGGTTATATACCCTCAAATTATGTAGAAAATGTCACTGTAAACCCTTCATTTTACATGCAGTACATAGAAAACTGCTTGGAACATTTAAAAAATAATGAAGCACATTCCGATTCCACGATAAGCGACAAAAACGAGATAATTTTGAGGTTAAGGGAGATCAAAAGACAAATCGAACAGCTCCCTGAATTTGCCATGAATTCTATAAGTGCCACAGTGGGGGATGTGCCTGATCTACTCTACAAAAACTCGGAAGGCAAGTTGGATTCCATAAACTCATCAGGTAACAATTTTTTATTATTTTTTTGTTTAAAATTAAAAAAATATATTTTTTATTATTTTAACTAGTTAATGACTAGTGACAAGCAAAACAGCATTATTTGCTTGACATTGCCAACAGTTACATGCAATTTTTAAATAGGTAACAAATTTTTTAAATGTAAATATAAAAGTGCTTAAGAGCAAAGAATAAAACGTTTTAATGTTTAAACCACTGCATTTAAGTAGATCTAAATTTAAAAATTTTGCCTAAATTTTTTAAAAAATTTGGAAAATAATCCACTTATTAATTTGTTTATTTACAATGTGCAATTTAACATATCTGCACCATTTGATTAAAAAATCATTATCTTGTAAACTATTTATAAAGAAAATTTCAGAGGATGTTAATAAATGAATGTGCTATAACATAATCTATATTATTTTTAAACAAATGCAGATTTTACTCTGCTAAAAAAAACTATAAAATTTTCACACCATATTTTTGTGATCTTGAACAAATTTTAATTAAATTGGCTTGGTGGAGACGATTTTATTATAATTATAATTAAAATCTTCTCAGAGCAAGTTAAAAATGGAATTAATTTAAAAATAAAATAAGTTTCTTTTTACTCCCACCTTTAAAACGCCCATTATCGTACATGTTTCCATGACACTAACATTGACAAGTTGAAGCATGGCATTTTAGTCACGGGCAACAGGTTTTAGTCACGGGATGAAGTAAGTTTTAAGTTAGTTGACAGTTGTCAAATGTCATACAATCTTTAAATTAAAGTGCCTTTCTTGTAAAATAATACTAAATTCAAAAAATACCTACAAGAGTTACTCTGTATTAAATAGATTCTCAACGCCAAAATTTGAAAAGTTTAGGTGCATGTTGAACTGATCTTTTGATTTTGCCGGAAGTAAACTAGATTTAACCTAATTTTGGGTGGAGACTCCAGCGTGGAGTGCCCATAAAACATTATCTTTACTTTTACTGTGAAAAATTGCTTCTATATCGGATTTAAACGGTGGTTAGTTTATTTTTAAGGGATGAATTTCGATTTACACATAAAAATTTGACATTTTAACCGGCGCGCTGGTAATACAGATTCCAAAGTTTTTTTTGTTTTATAGATGTCGCTCTAAACAAATATTTAATTTAAATCATATTTAGATAATAATTAGGGTGTTAATTTTTGTAGAGAATTAGACGCTCTACAAAAAAGGTTTCTTATGATTTTTTGCTAAACCAATTGGTTAAAAAGTTATTAAAGATCAAAGTTCAACTCACCATCAATTTTGCCGATTTTTCGGTATTGCAGCAGAACTACTCAGTTATATTAAAAAATTGAGCACGAAATTTCATGCGGAACATAATTTGACATTACAAGAGTCTTTAAGCAATTTTTTTATTAACAAACAATACACTTTTCTAAAATTGTACCTACCATATTTTTTTTTCAATTTCATTTTTATTATGAAAACATATTTGCTTTCTAAAATTATAGTATTTAATAACTCGATATACCACCCAAATTTGTATTAATTGATTTTGAATATAAATAAGTTGGGCATTTTTTTAAAATTATTTTACCGATAAAAATATTTCTTAGTTGAACTTCATCTTTAATAACTTTTTAACCAATTAGCTTAACCAAAAATCATACAAAACCTTTTTTGTAGAGCATTTTATGTATGACCTTTGGTTACAAAAATCAAAAGGAACAAAAAAAATGTCCCTCAGGATCTCAGTCATTTAGAATCAAAAGTATTTAAGTATTGGTAAAAAAAATTGTTTTTATTAAACAAAAAATGTTTTCGTGACCTGAGTAGATTATTTTCCAATTTTTCTTTTAACGCCAAAAATCGTAGAAAAATTTGTAAAATATTACGTTTCTTTGTTTTAAAAGTGTTTTAAACTAACTAACTTAAAAAGCTGTTGTAAACATTAAAAACGGTTTTAAACAGAAAAACACAATATGTTTTTTGCCAACTCCGTATTTTGCACTCGCCAGGGGGCAGCAGCTACTCCTCAAACATATCCGAGTTGAAAAATCATCGCAACGTAGTAGAGGAGCCAATCAGGCCCACCAACCTGCAAAGCAAACGTACCAAAGAGATAAGGAAGAGCATAGAGAATGTCCATGAAGAGTTAAAGTCTGACTTGATGAGCGGAGAAGGGAAGAAATTCGACGCACCACCGATTACGCATCAGTCCGTGTACGAACTGGTCGAGAGCGTGAGAATAAATACTCAGTTATCCCACGAGATGTCTCGGATCGCAGTGGTGACTGTGGTGCAGGGTCTGCACGAGTTACTACCCGCTTCAGTGTTTCCGTATTTGAGTACGATTTTGTCCCACTCGCAAACGTCTTTAGTGGTTGACGACGTACAAATAGACCAAACTCACGATGCTAGTCGGCTAAAAATAATATTTAACGAGTTGACGAGTTGTAAGGAGGACTCGCAACAGCGCAGCTGGATGCTTCACGAAGACGAAAGTGTCATTAAGGAGTACATAACTGAACTTATATCAATTTTGGTGAGTATGTTTTAATATTACTACATAAGGATGATTCTACATAAGTTGGACAACTTGATGTTATCAGTCAATAGAGTAGGTATTTTAATATTTTTTGTAAATATTTTAATATATTACAAAAGATCCAGGTTTTTTTAACGTCCACCCAATTTTAATGTAGTTTTATAGAAAAACATAATAAATATTCAAAACACCTTAGCATGTCACAACTCCTGAATCAAATATTTGAGTGATTTTATTTTAAAATATATGGGTCATTTCACGTCAAATTTACCGTCAAAATTTAAATTTGTCTGAAATATATTTTTTTTCGTTTACGACACCAAAAAAAGTGACACGTATTTTTTTGTTTCAAAATTTTATGAATTTTGTTAAAGTTACGATTTTTTTAAATTTCAGTACCAGAAAAAAAGAATTTTAAACAGTAGTTTTTGAATAGAATAAGATTTAATAAACTTTATTTTTTTTGGCTTAATTTTAACGTTATGCATTGTTTTAAATATTTAAATTAAAAAAAAATAATTTTTTTTTTAATTCAATTTTTTTAAGCAAATTTTAAAAATTAATAAAAAAAAATGAAAATCGACATTTTTTTTTTAAATTTTTAAAATGTGTATTAACTTGTCAAAGTTTGCAGAACATTGTATAAAAATTTCAGAATGGACCGTTTAATATCGTATGAAATATTAATAATTTTAGATATCCGCGCTCTTAAAATGAAGGCTGTTACAGAGGCATATTTAAGATAAAGCACGATGGGTTATTAAAATTACAATTAGGGATGGGTTAGATTATATTGGATTATATTATATGTATTTTAGAATTAAAATTGCATCAAGGTTGTAATTTTTAATATTTTTTTTACCATTAAAAACTGATTAATAATTTAAACAAATGTACAACAGTGTGTTAATTCATGGTTAGTTGCACATCGATATTTCATGTGTTAAAAAATGGGTGCAAACAATTTTTATTTGACAAAATTTTACATTTTTTTATTCAGGAGATGCAATTTACTCCAAAATAAAAAAAATCATATAAAAATTAAACTCACATTATTATTATTATTTAACAACACAAATTACTTGCTTTTATAATATTTTATTTTATAAAACTAACAGTTTGGAATATTAAACTCGAAGAATACGTTTTTATTTTTAAAAAGTTATTGTAATGGTTTGACACAATCTAAAACGTTTTTTTTAAGTTCTGCGGCTTCATAGTCCTTTTCACTAGTATAAATGACGGATATATTGCTCAAGAAAGAATCATTTAAAGCCCAATGATAAAACTCAAGGGCTGTTGTTATATTATTGCCCTGACGGCTAGCCTTTCGTGCTTGCCTTTTCAAGGCTCCTCCAGCTCCGTCACAAGGACCTTTTCCGTGGGCTGTGGCTTGATAATGCCAAGTTGCAGAGCGACCAAAGTCTCGCTTATGATTATAAATTGTTGAAAAATGTTTAAAGTTTTTAAATTGTTGTGGTGCTCCATCAGAAAAGTAAACACAATTACGTATTTGTGGGTAAAAGCTAGAAATAAAATTATTAAAAGCTCGCAAAAAAACGTACACTGCTATGAAATCATGTTTTTTGAAATCAGAAATTATGACCAAGGTTTTATGGCTAATGTATCCATTATTAGTAAAATAAAAAACAATTGGAAAAAGTGTGGCCTGGTTGTTATTCCAGTGATAACCTGGAACGGCGTTTTGAATAATAAAAGCATAATTTTCGGCAAAATCACATACAACAAGACTTTGATCGTTCTGTAGATTGTTTTTAATTGATCTGTAATAGCTTGCTTGTTGTTCTGCGGTGAAGGAATGTGAAAGAAATTTATAACCAGATGTTAAAAAATTTTGGATGTAAATTTCCACTGGGACTTTTACGGTTTCGAGGGCTGTTCGAGGTTTCGAAATCCATTGTTTATGAGTGATTTCGTTGACGTTGTATTTTTGAATGGCTACTTACGAATGGCACCAACACTATTTTTACTAATGATTGTTCTGCAAGGGGCACATAAAAGATCTGATGATTCCAAAAAATCAAACTTTTTTAACATTAATTTCGACGCCTTTCGCAAATTTGTTTTATTGTTTTTTGCACTATGCGAACTTTTACGCAAAGGGTTACAGCACCGATCAGAAAACTTCTTATTTGCAGGCATTTTTACCAAAGATGAACAAACAATAAATATAATAGAATTACAAATTTAACAAATACGGGGTAAGAACAGATTACTTGTGTGACACCAAAAATCAAACTACATCAAACTCAAGATCAAACTATATGATACGTCAAACTAATTTAACGACATTTCATTAAACTCGCCCACTTCGCTGTAAAAAAATATGATAAAAATAAACCCGTTGAGACTTTTCTTAGTGTAAAAAAACTTTTTCTAGGACTAATAAAATATTTAACAATAAAAATCGTCGTAGAGTGGCTTTTACTAAAAGTATATATTTGCAATTCTCTGTCAATTTTATAAATTAATGGTATATTTATCTAATTTTGTTATAAGAAGTGGCAGACATTTATTAAGCAATATTAAACTTAAAATCCAGGGGACAATAAATCAGTTTTATTTTAGAATAAAATATTAAAAAAAAATTTAAAACTAGGTATTTTATGAAATTTGCTTTATAGGCTTGTGTTTTACTCCTGCCCCCAAAGAAAATAAATAAAGTTTTAATTATTAGCTTATCACTTTAACCATTTTAAGGAATATAATTTTTTATTAATATTGCATTAAAAAATATAAAATGGTAAAATTTTAAATTTCTGTTCGTAATTTTGAATGTTAATCGTCAATATTTTGCGATATCCTAAATATGTCTCTGTAACAGCTTTCATTTTAAGAACGCGGATATCTAAAATTATTAATATTTCATACAATATTAAACGGTCCATTCTGAAATTTTTATACAATGTTCTGCAAACTTTGACAAGTTAATACACATTTTAAAAATTTAAAAAAAAAATGTCGATTTTCATTTTTTTTATTAATTTTTAAAATTCGCTTAAAAAAATTGAATTAAAAAAAATATTATTTTTTTTTTAATTTAAATATTTAAAACAATGCATAACCTTAAAATTAGGTCAAAAAAAAATTAAAGTTTATTAAATCTTATTCTATTCAAAAACTAATATTTAAAATTCTTTTTTTCTGGTACTGAAATTTAAAAAAATCGTAACTTTAACAAAATTCATAAAATTTTGAAACAAAAAAATACGTGTCACTTTTTTTGGTGTCGTTAACGAAAAAAAAAATATTTCAGACAAATTTAAATTTTGACGGTAAATTTGACGTGAAATGACCCATATTCAATTTATCTTTGAAAAACTATAAAACATTAAATAATGTATTTTTCATATTTTATCATAGATTCAAATAATAGCAATTTTTAAAAAAATTCATAATCTTTGTACTCACTTTTACCCGTCAGTTCTGTGTCCAATGTTAAAATTCAAAATTCCTGCGAAATATTGAAGTTTAAAAGTCCTCGTTTTAACTCAAGTGTTGGTAAAAAATTACCTACAGAGCCCGCCTTTTGCACGACAGTCATCTTGAAAACAATGCAAGCGGCGAAGTTGTGGTAAATGCACGTATATTTCCAGTCAAAATTTCAGTACTGTGGTGAGTAGTTATTTTCTTACGTATATATATTTCATTGTAATTTATATAAGGCTATATGTGATTTGTTGATAAGTAGCATCCACTAATAAAAAATATCAGTAAAATACTTAATTGCGAATTATAATCTCAAATTTGTATCCCATTCATCAGTACCGTGTCGTCAGTTCCATGTTCGATGTTTCGGTTATCGTTTTTTCGCAAACTTGTTTATTTAATGTCATTATAAATTCATATAAATTTGGTGTGGGTCCCATATCTAATAATTGAGATATCGATATACCCAAAATCCACCAGCCGCCACTGATGTGTGGTATTATTTGATTTTAAGATATTTAATGTATAATATGCTCAAAGTTGCAATACATTTTATATTTTCCAATAAATTATGTATTTAATTAGTACCCTGGTATACTCGTCACTTCCCTTGCATTCAAATTTAGAAAACACAGATATTTCAGAAACTGTTTGAAAAAGTGACTGGCCCGGTCTGGAACAGTATATTTATTATATTATCTATGTTCTCATAACAAAATACTGTTTAATTTTCTCCGAAAACTATATAAACAAAATGAGGTCAAAAGTTGCCCAACTTTTGTAGAATAACCCATAAATTTAACTGAAAAAAGCATGTATTAGAAATATCCCCTAACACCAAAACAAAACATAAAGTGCTTAAAATACTTTTCGCCAACGATGTTGGCATCTTCAGAAGCGAAGTGTAACTAAATCTAAATGTTAAATCTACCATATTTATAATAATTATAAGCTAAGGTTCACTGAACCTCAATCGGACACAGTTTACTAAACTGAAGATTTAGCATTTAGATTTAGGTAAACTTCGCTTCGGAAGATGTGTTTTGGTTTGGTGTTGGGAAATATTTCTAATATTTGTTTAACATATCACCAAAGTTGTCCTTTCTCAAGTAAATGAAAAAACACGATATTATTAAAAAACATACAAATAATATTATTAAAATAATCGTTTTTAGTCGAACGCAGACGCAAGTATATCGCGTCACGTTATATCCGGCGATCAATACCACGTGATAACCACTTTGATTCAGTACTACCAAATGGAGTTTCGATGGTCGATTCGGCAGCTATTATTGCAAGCTTTTGGTGTTCTATGCAGCTTGGATAAAACCGTTGTCAGTATTATGTTGTGCTCCATATTGCCTGGAGAACTTGCCAGGTAAGAAAATACATTTTTGGAGAGTTATTTAAGAAATGCGAATGTTGAGGTTATGTATTAAGGAGAAGGTGCTAATATGGAAACCCCCCTAGCGGCGACATCATGTATTTTGGTCATTATACTTTTTAGCCCCATCTACAATGTTGACTATTATTTAGGCAAACTAAAGGTAATCCTAATGTTCTCTCAGCAGTAATTTTTTTTAAAGACAATAAATGCACATAAAACATTGCATTAATTAAAAAGAAAGAAATTGGTTGACTTTATATGAAAAAGAAAATTAAATACTGTATATACTTACCGAGCAAATGCCGTGACGAAAGATAACCTTCAAAAACACGCTGCTTGTTTGTAACGCGCAAAATAACAATAGCGATACCATTGCCTGCAGAGGCGCCATCTCGTTCCGCAGTTATAAACTACATGGGTTGCACAGGTCTTTTATTTGTAATGGTAAACTCCAGTGTTTTATTTAGGCGGTTTGTGACGAAGAAGACATTAAATATAAGGACAAGGTTCGGTCACGCTTAAAAAATTATTCACAGATATTTTATCACATTCTTTATTGGTATTGAGGAGCTATTTTTTTGTTATTTCATTTTAGTTTTAGAATTCTGTTTCATACAAAATCCATGAAATATATCCAAGTTTTCACTATTGCAATATGATAGGGTTATAGAGTGTAATGCTAAATTTCAAGTTAGCTGGGAATCGATTACGAATAATTCGAATATTCGAATTTAGGTGAAAATCGATTATAAATTATTCGAATATACGAACATTCGATTACTCTAATATTCAAATATTTGAATACTCGAATATTAAATCACTTTAAATCAGTATACGTAAGGGTGACGCAAAAAAACTTTTTTTCGCTAATTTGTCATTTTTATTAAAAAAAATTAAGAGCTCTCATCAAAAATTAGATTGCTTACGAATTTTGAAAATTACAAAAATAATCAAATTCGAATTAAAAATAATAATTTTTTCGATACAGTAAATTTTTGTACACAAAAAATTACAGTTACAGCTTAAAAATGAATTTTTAAAGATCGCTCACAAATTTTAAAAAATTTCGATAAAAATCGATATAGTCGCTTCGTTTTGGACCCTAGCGAAAAGTAATTAGTAATTACTAATTAATAGGTATTCGTAGGCAAAATTTGCGGCAGCCCGCTGATTTCACGTGAAATTTTAATTTAGAATTTCTAGCCGAAAAGACCGAAATCCGAAGGTATAGGAAACTTGCCTGTATCTACTAGATATTAGATATTATCTAAAGTCTATTCAAATCCAAGCTGGACTAAATGTAAACACAATCCTCCGAATCGACCAATAAGAGCTCACAATCCGAGTCACACCATCAGAATCGACCAATAGAAAGGAGTTATTACGCGTCTGGGCGTTTTTGTTTAGTCCAGCTTGGATTTGAATAGACTTTAGGGTGTAAGTAGAGCTGAATCTTAATAAAACTAATTACAAAAATTTACCGTGACAAGCAAAAAAATTTTCGAATTTTGAGTCAATATTTTTAACCATTTTTTGAATTTTCAAAATTACTGTGCGACCATTAATTTTTAAAACATGATTAACTAATATTATTTCATAGGAAACTCGAAAAAAATGGTTTTTTAATAATAATAATAATAAGGTCTATAAATGAAGGCATGCTATTTTTGTTCAGAAAAATGTATAGCCTAGAGATTTATTAATAACTTTTTATAATTATTATTATTATTATTATCTGTTTGATAAGTAAAAAAAATAATTATTATAAGAAGTTTTTATTAAATCTCTAGATTGGCTCAAAAATGTCTAAAATTAGTGAAACTTCACTGGACCTGGTAAATATTTTAATACCCATTCGAATATTTAAAAATTCGATTAGTTGAATATTTGAAAATGTACTCGATATTCGAATATACGAGTAGGTACACGAATATTCGAATACCCGAATATCGAATATCAAATATTATAATAATTTTCAAACGAGTATTCGAATTTCTAAAACTTAGAAATTTCCAGTCTTACTTTCAACCTTAATTAAGACATTAAAAATATTTTTATATTTAATTGAAACATTTTCTATTAATTATTGTTATTTTAAGTTCTTATTTGTGAATATAGTTCTTAATATAGCTGTCTAAATTTATTATTTTTTTTAATAAGAAATGTTAAGAGAGCCTTAATAGTATAATGACCCATTTACCTAAACCATTGAGTAAGATGTTACATCTTACTCAATACCTAAACCTATGCTATATGCTACAAAAACCTCCACCAACCATTTTATTATTGAACTTTGCTGTGAATTTACTAATTTTACTAATATTTTTGGTAAAATAAAAATCGATATTTTCTTTAGAGACATGATGGCGAACCCACGTAACATTCCAAAGTTAAACTATTCCTCATTGCTGCTCACCATGATTTTTTCTATGGGCGAGTTGATGCCAATTACTCACTACGATATTTTGGGTAAGGATTTTTTGTCCTTTATCCTGGATAACATCGAGTATCCTCCGGATACTGACGTTGACGAGCAAATTCCCGATTTGTTCTTAAATTTCGTGATTTCATTCAATCTGCAATATGTCGATGAATCTGACAACGCTGTATTGTCGGCGTTGGAAGAACGCGACGTTGCTAAGACTTTTACCGAGAAAATTTTACTTTTGTTGAATAGAGAAGGTAAAGAAATAATATTTTTCGTATTAATTTTTAATAAAAATGTATTTTAGAGGATCCTGTAAGGATTTTTGATCACTTGCCAGCTCCACCTCATTCTTTACTAAAGTTATTCAACGATTTATTTAGTAAAAAATCAACGGCCAGTTTGTTTTACACTAACGATACCAAAGTTTTGATTGATATTATTGTTAGGAATATTTCGGATTTATCTACTGGGGATGTGGTAAGTAAATAGCCTAATACTTAAATAAAAATAAAAATAAAATAACAATAAAAATGGAATTTTAGCGGCCGAAAAATAACAATTTTTTGGCCGCTTTTATTATTTTTCATCTAACGATGATTATCAAAAGTGACTTTTTCCATTTATTTATTTTATTACAGAGACGTCGTCAATATTTGGAATTATGCAGACGTGTAATGCGTAATACAAATTATGAAGAACACAAACACAGAAATGACGAAATTTTGAAATGTTTCACTAGAATTTTCTGTGAAGAATCTGATTTAAGCAAGCATGACCAAAAATTAGTCCGGGAAATTTCCAACGAATTTCCACAATTTTTTAAGTAGGTATCATATTTTATTTGTTATTGTTTTATATTATTATTACTACTATTATTATATTGTGATATTTTTATGAATATATATTTTTTTATTTTATTTTTGTTTAATTTTTTTTATGGAATACATTTAATAATACAATTTTTTTTCAGTACTGATGAATAAAAGGACTACTAACATTTTTAAAATTTGCCAAATTAGCATTTTTAAATTAATAGTATAATTTTGCTCACATATCAGTAATGCTTCCTTAAATTGTAAACTGAATTGTAAAATGTAAAAAAAATAATAAAAAACATCGAAATTTTCTGTACCAATTTTGAATTAATTTTTGTGATAAAATTTGCCATTTTAATTTAGGTACTTAAATTCTATGTGATACTATATTAATGTTAATTATTGAAGAGTAGATTTTATTTAATAGGGTGTAATTATTTATCCCCTGTATATAGGCGTTATTTTAAAAAAACCCTTGAAGGCAGAAAATATTAAGTGCACGATTCAACATTAAATATTAATGTTTATTTAAATAATTTAGTACTATTTTATCTGTAAAATGTGTATGAAATTTGCATGCAAAATATTTAAAGGTTAGTTATTTAAAAGTTTTAATATTATAGTCCAAGAAAAAGGCTTTTTCTGTGCGAGCGTGCGAAAAACCTTTATGGACGTGTAATAAACAATATTTTTCGTTATACCTCTCTGAAAATAACTAAAAGTATATTTTACTAGTTGAATAAGTTTTTAAGATTTTAATACATCTTATATAAAATGGTGCCAAACAATACAATAATAATTTAAAATATTTAATTTTATACCAATTTTTTTTATGTAATTACACATAAACTACTTTTTTATATGAAAACATTATTTACAGAAAGGTTTAATGAAAAGTAATAAAAAGGTTGTTAAATTTTGTTGTGAAAATTGGTCAATATTTGGAGATATAATTTGACAATTTAGGTGTTGTGTGTAGAATAAATGCGTGTTAGGATTTTTAAGGCATTAAAATATATTTTATTGCCAGAAAGTCGAAATTGCTTAATAAAAACGGTACAAAAAGGCAAGGGAGGTAATATTATAAAATTATATTTATTTAAGATATAAATTATGTATGTAATTAAAATAAATATTTTAATATATGTAACATTCTCTTGATCTTAAGAAGAATTTATTATTACAAATAAATAAAAATACAGGTTAAACTTAAAGAGTAAGGTGTTTAAACTTCCCCAGTCATCATTTCCATGAATTCTGAAATAAAAATTATAATTATTAAAACCTTCATAACATAAAATGGTAAATCAAAGTTTCATATAGTCATTTGGGAGAAACAAGCAAATCAACTAGGTTCAAGTTTATTTTTGTTTGTAGCGTTCCATTTAGATTTAATGGTGTTTCAAAATAGTAACATTTATTTTTAGAATTTCTGTGCTTGACTATAATTTCTTAATATGATTTCTTACCATCGAAATCGACGGTTCCAGAGCCGTCAGTGTCGATTTCCTCGATCATCATGTCCAATTCTTTTTGTGTGAGTTGGTCGTCCAATTCTCTGAGGATTTCCTTTAAGCACGAGGTGGGAATGTAGCCGTTTCCTATTGAAGAAATAAAATTAAATGTTAATTTTGTTGTTTTTGTTGATTTTGGCATGTGATATGGATTTATTTCTGGATGTTTATAGGTTATAATAACAGAGCATTTTGCAACATTGTAGAGATATATTATAGATATAGATATACCTCTATAGCCTTTTTACAAAAAGTTGTTTCATATATTTTGCAGTTTTAAATAATTTATATGTTGTTATTATCTTTTAAAATTTTCTTATTTTCTTGATATAATTCGTTTGTTCTCGTATTTAAATTCAGCGATCCCTAGCTATATTTTTACAAATATTTATGTATTTTTTTGGATTTTTTAATCAGCAAAAGTTAAGATAAAAATAAAGATTTTTATTTTTTGTATCCCAAAAATACTGATACCTTTAAATATTAGTGTGGTCTTTATTTGTGGTATTTTCAATTTTTTTCAGTCAAATTATCATTTAAGATAAAATCCTTAATTTTTGTCAATTTGGTATTTTTCCAAATACGTTTTTTCGATCAATTAAAATTAAATTTAGTTTAAGTTACTAATTATTTGACTGCACTGGTACCATACTTATTGCACTTAAAAACAAGAAAATTCAGTACACAAAAAGTATCGGCTTTTATAAATATAAAAGCAACATTTTTAAAATAAATATGCAATGAACTGTAAATAGTTTGAAAATATTTCCAGATATTTTTGTTATGTTGAGGAAACATTAATTACAAAAATGTGAAAAAATATTGTATAAATATAAAAAGTGGGACATGTAAATGTTGTAAAAACATTTTAGAGGCATTTAAATGATAATGACTAATATTTCTAAAATATTTAGTTCGTTAGCAGAAATATTTATTCAATATTTTAAATATATTTTTGTGTTATGGTTTAGACTAAATATTTGTTTTCTTACCTTCTTTGTCGTATAACCTGAAAGCTTCTTTCAGTTCCTTTTGCATGGCTTCATCATCTTCTTCAACGATGAATTTGGCTGCCAAAGTAACGAATTCTTCGAACTCCAAACGGCCAGATTCTATAAAAGTTTATTATATTTTAATCAAGATAAATGTAAACAAAAACAATTTGGAGCTAAAACATACGGTGTTTATTTAATTTACCAAAATCAATGAATGGTGCCATAATAATTAATGGATCTGACTCCTTAACGGAGTATTTAATTTTGGCACAGTGACAAGCGAAAAAACCCACTAAACTTTATTACACGATTTACTGCCGCAGATGCTTTAAGATTCTAATATTTTTATAAAAAAAGGTTAATAAAATCTGCGTTTTTTCGAACAGGTGATTATAAAAATAGAAAAATATGATTTAGTGGCCGCTATTTTTAATGGATTATTTTTAAATTTTTAAGTATAATATGAAATAGATTTTTTTAAATAGAAGAATAATGACTTGTAAAAGCAATTATTAATTTAAAAGGGAAACTTACTGTCGGCATCAACTTCTTCAATGAGTTCTTCCAAGATCTTCTTGTCGAAGGGTTGACCCATCAAACGGAGAATATCGGCAACCATGTCACATGGGATGCTGCCAGATTTCTGGTTGTCGAAAGCTTCGAAAGCCTTGCGGAGGACTGAAAAAATGTTATAAAATAACACTAAGCCCTTTCTTCGCCTGTTGGATAATGTACTATTTTACCTCATTTATAATATTTATAATGTAAAAAGTGTTTATGAAAATAATAAAATATTTTGTATTATTTTTTAAATTTATATTGCACATTTACAATTTAATAAATTAAACCAGGAAAAAAGCACATTACTTCTAAGTACACTTTTCACTGCCGAGGCAGTTCTTAGATTATGTGCAAGGCAATTAATAATTTTTTTTTTCAAGCTCACAACATTTTTGGTTATGAAGTTCAATAATTTTTTACTTTTGAACTATAGTATTAATAGTAGTCTTTTAGTATAGACTTTTGGGTATTACGATATGGAAATTATTGTACGCTTAAAAAAAACAATTTTTCGAAATGTTAAATGTCAATTTTTTTTTATTGGCTAATGCACCGTAATAATTAATTGCTTTTTTATACTTTATTGTTTATTAAAATTGTATAAATTATTTGAGACAACATTTCTTTTGCTCATTAAAACATTAGACCCGATTAGACCTTTAAAGAATCATTTAAGTATTAGGTAGTTTTATTTTTAGTAAATGAAATGTAAACCTTATTTATATTTTTGTTCTGTTATTGGAGTTTTACTCCGTTGGGCAAATAAATGAATTATTATTATTATTATTTAGACATATTTTTTATAAATAACAATATAAAATTATCAAAACTATTACAATTTTAAGCTTTTCTACAGTTTACTTATCTATATAATGCTTCAGATAAATTAAGAAATCCCCTTAAATCTTTTTTCATTGACGACCTGTGTCTTTATGGCGTTTTAGTCACGGACTAAAGTTGGCAATAATGGCTTATGGGCATTTTAATCACGAGCTAAAATAAGCTTAATTTTAAATTAGGGAAAAGTGAGGTTAAATCCGTTTAAAGTTGACAGATGTTAAATGGTTAACAATTAAAATTGGCTTTAAATTATTTTATTTTGTTCGTCGTAGATAAAACGAGTTGCATACTACTTCACTAGACACTCGTTTTTATTAAACACTAGCTTGCAAGCTTCGCTCGTGCCTAATAAAACTGGTAACTAAAAAAGCATTTATAAAACTTGATACATAATATACTATTATCTACTCGTACATTGACAAGCTGTGACTTTATGGCGATTTAGTCACGGGCTGAAGTTAGCTTAATTATAAATTAGGGAAAAGTGAGGTTAAATCCGTTGAAAGTTGGTTAACACAATGGTTAACAAATAAAATTGGCTTTAAATTCTTCTTTGTGTTTGTTGTAGATAAATAATTATTATAGTATGTAACTTTAGAAAATCGTTTCAACAATTAATATTATTTATAAATTCAAATATTTATATTTAAAAACATGGATTAATAGTATATTATGTATGTTTAATAAACGCCACTTTAGTTGAAGTTTTATTAGGCACAGCGAAGCTTGCGAGCGAGTGTTTAATAAAAACGAGTGTCTAATTATTAATTAATATACATCTAATATTTAAATGTTTACGATCACGATTACATACCGAAAGGTAAATAAATATATAAAAACTGAACTTCCTTTAAAAAAGTAATAATATTATATTTAATTACTATTAAATTAAATAAAAACAAAAAAGTATTAAAAAAATAAACAGATACCTACCTAAAATATTAATTAATATTGATATCAATATTCAGAATTTACATAAATAAACTTTTTATTTATATTTAAAAATCGCCAAAACCATAATAATCGCGGATTGATCATAATCGCAATGGTAATCGTTGCATTAATAGTAATTATTATAGTAGCCATGGATACCTGAGACAGGATAGTCAACTACGTTGAAAAAGCGTGCCGTATAGAATCTGGGTTCTGGGTGGTGATTTCTCATGACGTAATCACAAAGATGAAATTAACGAATTGTGATTGGTCAGTTAAAAATCGAGTGTGCTTAAACCACGCCCACATTTATAGACTATACGGCACGCTTTTGTACGTGGCCAAATATAACAAGTCGAACATCCTAAACAGCTGATTTTCATGGTATAAATAATCATATATATATTATAATAAAGCAATATTTAATTTTATTATTCTGGGAACTAAACGTTTTTTGTTGAACTTACCGGCAATTTGTTCTGGGGGAAGTTCATCCTATAAAATAAACAAAAAAAGAGTATTAGTTTGGTGTGAAACAGAAATTTCAAAAAAACTTTCGTAAAAAGTGTCACTTTTTTACAATATTTTCCAAATTCATTTAATTTTGTATCGTACCATTTTGATATTTAGTGTGTATACTTGAGTTCAAACCAAACGAGAAGCCTAAGAAGAACTGAATTTGCTTGGCACCGGCACGCATATTATTAAATCTCAGTTATAGTGGATTTCTACAATTTTTTTTCGCTCCTCACACGCTTGATGCACTTAATTTTGGTCTTTCGCTAGGAGCCCACGCAACATCGCGGCAGGCTGCCATGGAAATCGGTAGCAAAATCGAGTCGGCTCTGTATTTTTAGAATTCGACTGTTTTCCTCTTTTCGAAAGTTTTCCACTCTCGAGAGAGGGGCGATGTAAGGTGGGTGGGCCAGTCTTTGTTTTGTAAAAACAAATCAATGTTTATAAATATAATGATACGGTTTGTGGGTATTTTAAAATTGTAAAGAAATGTTTTGGAAGATCTAGATTCTAGACTCTAGCAATGCATACTTTTAAAAAATATTTTTAAAAAATAAATCTAATTTAAAAAACAAATTTAAAAGAAAAAGTACCTATAAAAAGTCAAAAAATAGTTAAAAGTATATTATTATACTAGATATAATGCGCATAATCTTGAGTGTAATACTATACTTTATCTACTCCAATAAGTAGATAATTAAATCATTTTAAAAATTAAATAAATAAAATCTGACATCTGTCAAATGGTTAACCTTACTTTTTACCAATTTTAAATGTTATTATAGTCTCCTTCTTTTAATTTAAAACCGGATTGGTTCAAATCACAGTGAATATTGAAATCGGCCAATCACTAACGCCTATCAACGTGAATAATGAGTGAATAATTATTCACGGTGTTAGGCAGGGAATTTATAATGTTTATCAATATTCACGAAAAAAAAAACACAATTATGCCTTAGTAGTAGATAAAGAAAGTTATATTATTTTGCCATTTCACTTTATAAATAATGTTATACAAAGTTGAACTAAGATTTTAGGTCATAAAAATTTATTTATATCCAGGCATTATTTATGTTTTGCAATTTCTAAACAATAATAAATCTCCCTAAAACTGTATGCTAAAATGTCAAAATAATTTAATCATTCTAATAAATGCACGCCGCATTATTTTTGCTCTGAATAGCTCTATTAATTTTATTTATTAGGTTTACCAAAAATATCATATTTTCGTCTTGATAAATTTCACGTTTAATGGTTTGTTGAAAGATTAATAGTACTTTATTATACGAGAGATAATGCACGATGCACTTATATTTGCGTGTCAAGTCGCTAGACAAGAGACGCATATGAATAATGCGCATTATCTCGAGTGTAATACCAAACTTTTTCTATATTACATAATTTTCATTGGGAGAAATAAAAATGTATAAAGAAGAAATTAAAAAGTAAGGTTAGATCATTTGACAGATGTCATATTTTATTTGAGTAGTATTTTTTACATTTTTGGAATTCCAACTACATACCCTATTGGTCCAAATCACAGTGAATAATCAAATCGACCAATCCCTGATGCCTAGCAACGGGAATAATGAGTTTATTATTTCCGTTGTTAGGCGGGGCGGCTATAATGGTTATACAATAGTAGTAGAAAAATCAAATTATGAAAATCTATGATAAATTAAATGAGATATTATTCCAATATTCCAATATTTACTTTTATGAATTAGAAGTTTAAATTAAAACACATAAACACAACCTATATAAAATTTTGTGACACATCATTTGAAAAGTATTTTGATTCTCTATTCGACGCATATATAAAATCTAAAATATGTTTAATGGTTGCTAGGATATTAAACGTTTAAATAAAATTAATTATCAAATCAAATTTTTGTTTTCGTTTAGTCATGTCGATACTTTTTTTCATTCAAAAAATAACGGAAGGGGGCTTTTAACGTGCCCACTGTATAGTTGTAGTTTTATAAAAATATATTGTAAAAAATATTAAGCTGCACTTCATCTGCTGCAGTCTTACTAAAAACTATTAGAATACGATGTTTTTTAATTTTTTTTTGGCTGATAGATTTTGAGTGTCAAAAACTACAAAAATACGCTTCTAAAATCCCAGTACCTACTTATGAACCACCCTGTATAAAACAATCAACACTTTGTTATTTTAGTTAATAAACCATTATCAGTAAAAATAAACAAATAGTTTAAATCAAAGGTAATTACTAGATTTGAAAGAAAAACAAACAGAATTTGTTACAAAAATTAGAGTTTACATGTTTTGGGAGATCAAAGCAATTAACAGTATTTTTTCACAATATTTTTAATTTACGCCGTTGAAATTTGAACGGCAGATGCGTGGGCCAGTTATTGCCTATATTGATAAATGTTTTTGAAAATTATTTAAAATAATCAGACATGAAAACATTTAGTCATACAAAAAACACATGTTACATGTTACATTTATCTAATATTAAACTTACTGCCATTTTACGTTGATATTTTTTACTACCACAAGACACGAAAGCTAAGAAGGAAGGAGAACTGAAAAGACTTTGGCATACTTTTAGTTTATAAGAAGTTCCAAAATAGATTTAAAATTAAGAGGGGGTTTTGTTATTTTATTTCTCTGAGGAAATCTTCTGTTTCCAATTAAGAGTTTCGGTTTTCACATGTAGTCATAAAATATTCTGATTTAGGTGACGAGAAACGGCTAGTTTTATAGCTGATTTCCACATTTTTTTATTGTCGAATTTGTGAAAATTATAAAAATATCTTTAAAAAGTTAAATACCTATTAATATTAATAAATAACGTAGAAATTAATAATAAAGCTTATTATAACTTGCTAAAATCAAATACGTAAACAAAAATTTTACATTATTTAATTTTAAATATTGGGGCTTACAAATTTAATAATATTTTTTCAAAAATGGCGAATGCACCGGGTACATATTTAAAAACAATTTAATCTTAATTAAACTAAATTAAATAAAAATCAAAGTAGAAGTAGAGAAATAAAAAAAAATGTAGGACCCTTACTTATATGTGTCAAAATAAAAAAATAATATTAATTTAATAAAAATCTAAAAATTTAAAACGTTTATGAAAGCAACATTTAATTTAATTTAATTTTTTAAAACATTTTAAAGGGTAGGTATAAAAATCAAAATTTAAAAAAATACCAACATTTAATAATATTAATTTAATGAAAATCTAATCTAATCTAATCTAATAATATTAATTTAATAAAAATCTAAAAATTTAAAACGTTTATTAAAGCAACATTTAATTTAATTTAATTTTTTAAAACATTTTAAAGGGTATAAAAATCAAATTTTAAAAAAATACCAACATTTAATAGTATACTATGTATAAAGTTTGATAAACTCCATTAAGTCACGAATTTAAATTAGGTACGAGCGAGTGTTTAATTAAACGAGTTGCATACTACACTTTTTATTAAACAAATACCTAGTATTATTAAAAAAATATTTAAATTAAATTTTTTTAAACAGCGACATCTATAAAAAAGTAGAGTAACCAAATTTTGTGGCTTGTGGCTTCATGGTGTTTTAGTAACGGCTCAAGTAAGTTTTAAGTTAGTTGTCAGTTGTTGCCCTTCTTGTGAAATAATAATGTGGAAAATTTTTTATTATCTTAATATAAAAATAAAAAGTATAGAATAGTTTCTAAACGCCAATACCTATTTCAAAAGTGTATATGCAAGTTGGTACTGACCTTTTGATTTTTTTGGCAGTAAACTAGATTTAACTGAAAGCATTAAAAATTTCGGGCGGACACTTTATCGTGGAGTGCTCATAAAATATTCTCTTTACTTTCACTTTAAAAAACTGCTTCTATATCATCATTTTAGATTTTTGTAAGTATATGTCAGAAAAAGTATAGTATACAACTCATTTAATTAATTAAATTTGTACTATTATGTTTAAATCATTAGATTGATTAGTTTTTGCCACTTATTTGTTGTTTGGATAAAATATACAGTATATTCCCGAATAATAAAATAAAAGGCAATAACTTTTTTTTCTCTTAAAATTTTTGAGTTCCCCAAAAAAATATTTTATCCCTAAAACACAAAAAACTTAAATATTTTTAACGGTTTATGAGAAAATGATTTTTTTCAAAATTGGGCATGTTTTCGTAAAAAAGTTTGTTTTTATTTTTTAGAAAATGTATTCTTACTGATTTTTACTATAGGTACCTATATAAATAAACTAACTTAATTTTAAAACACCAAGAACTTCTAAAATAATTTGAGAAAATGTAATTTTTCTTTGCACTTTTTAAGTAACTTAATCCGGAGATATACTGTATAAGCATTGTTCATATTTTTCTAATTTTAATATATTTTCACTAAAAATTACACTTACAGCTGACATATTAAAACTTTTTTTGATTATTTTCAGCTATTAAGTTCAAACTTTCAAGTCGAAGAACTTGATGGAAACTGATTGTATTAATTCGATTGAAGCTTTTATATAGTATCCAAAAATAACATTTAATGTGTAGAATTATTTATTACATGTGTTCTTTTCGGTTCGGATATAAAATCATCATCATCGTATAATTTAATGTCTTTAGTCTGGTATTTATACACACAATAATTGTAATCTATAATAATAGACATTTTCTAGCTGGTTATTGTTTATGAGAAAACCATAGTAAAGACAATAAAATCTTGGAAAACAATAAAATTTAATTTTGTCAAACATGAGTTGCATTGGTTTAAAAAACTCGATAAATTATGATCAATTAATATGTTTGTAGGAAATTTAAAACTGCACAAAAAAGAAATAATATAATTTTTTTATGTTTTTCTTAATATTTATAACCATGCTTATAATTATTATTCATAGAGCTGAAACTGAAACTAGGACTGAAAAAAAGAAGTCGTTTTTTTCAAACTATATTTATAGTCTAAATAGTGTTTAACAAATATTAACAAGAAGAATGTACCTTACGTGCGGACATTTTCTTATTTTAACACACAATGTCCACTTTATTTCACAAAATTCAACCAAACACTGTTGTCCCAAACTTCTTGGAAATGCATTTTATAACCAAAACGAAAATAGCTATTTTCTTCTTTATAAAAAAATCATATTTTTTATTCGGATGCTCATTTGGCTTAAGAAGGATAAACATGTTGATCCATTTTCGTATATGTAGCTGTTTATAACAATTCTCTGTATTGTTGACGGTTATTTTTATTAATTAAAAAATCATTGTTTTGATATTAATAATTTTTACAACAAACATTTCTATATTTACGTTTGGGTACCTACTTAAATAAATAGTTCGAGCGAGTGTTTAATAAAAACAATTGTCTAGAGAATCTATGTACATCCTATGCTAACTATACTTTATCTAAACAAAAATAAGAATTTAAAGCCAATTTTAATTAATAAATATTTCCTCACTTTTTCGCAATTTATAATAAAGGTATCTTCAGCCCGTGACTAAAATGCCCAAAAGCCACTGTTAACTTTAGCCATAAAGTCACAGCTTGCCAATGAAGGATTAGATAAATTATTTTATAAAATTCTCTAGACACTCGTTTTTATTAAATACTCGCTTGAAAGCTTCTCTCGTACCTAATAAAACTGGTAACTAAAATGGCATTTATAAAACTTGATTCATAATGTACTATTATTATACCTATTTAAAGTATTTACTAACTACGTATAAGTAGTTAGTAAATACTATAAATATAATTATAATGATATAATTAGTTTAATTTATAACTTATATAAATTATAGCTACCTAAGTACTCTGTATAGTAAATATTTTGCTAAAATTAAATGAGTATGGTTTACACATTGGCAATTTATTTATTTAACACAATTTATTACTACAATATTTTATGTGGCCAAACTTTACATAAATAAACTACAATTTTAATTTTTTTATTTGCTTTTTATAACTTTCATTCTAATACTATTTTTTTATTTCTAACCTTCATTTATGGATGCAACCCAATATCATTCTGGGAATTTTTTAAATCTTTCAAAAACAGATATTCCCCATTAAAATTAATTTTCTGTTTCCAAAAAAACCTAATTAACTTTTTTTTTCATTAACTTAATTAGACATAAATAAAAAATCGCTTATTATTAATGTCAACAAAAGTGTCCCACTTTAAAATTTCACGAAAACAAATCTTTACGCACGGTTTATTTTGAATCGAGTCCAATTTTCAATTACAGTTTTGTGCTGGTGCATTGAACGTTGTAAATATTCACAAATTGTGAAAATTAGCTTAAACAGGTGCAAAATAATATTTATCTATTTTGGTTTCATAATGACTTAATTATAACACCGCTTTTGGTTCTTTAATGAGGTACTTTATTCCACCCAAAATTTTGATTTTATAGGTTGGCTACTGGTAAAATACAATTTTGAATACCTATAGGTTATAATATTTTTATGAATTGTTTTCTAGTACTTACGAGACTTTTCGTGTAATAAATTTTGTTTAACACCAAAGAAAATCCTTTTTTCTTCTTTAACAGCCGCTTATTGTAAATACTTATTGTAAATTAACGACGCCATAGCGAAAGAATGTGATAATGTTTGAAAGGTTAATGACCTTTCAAACTTCAAACTTTGTTATCTATGATACCAACTATGTAAAGTAAAATTTAACCAAATTAAATATAAGGTATAAAATTAATTTGTTTTATGAAATGTTTGCAAAATAGATAAAATAGCATAAAGAACTCATGTCATAAGACCTTTTGTCGCACTTGTCCATTATAAAACTCGCTCCTTCGTCGCTCGTTTTATAAATTGTCCGCGTGCGACAAAATGACGTCTTATGACATTAGTTCTTTAATATACTATTTTAGATATACTTTTGTAAACAATATGTTATCCTAATGGTTTAAGCATGTAGCAGTTTAATGTTGCCATAACATATTTTATACAGTTTCACAAATTATATTTCATATTTTAAAAATCTCATCTGTAGAAAAACAAATTAGAGAATAGATAAAAAAATAGGTATAATTTATAGATTAGAAAAGGTAAAAGACATGTTATGCAACCCCGATACAATAGTATAATTATGGTTGTCTAAGTTTGACGTTTGCGCAGAATAATGACATTTCGTTTTTCCGTAAATTTTGTTATTAAATGTAAATGGGTCTGTGAAAAAGCGAATAAATCCTCCTGAATACCGTGTAAACCTTCTGTTAAAATGGTAGATTGCGAAAAAGAGGAGGCACGTAACTTGGTAAGTCAATTTCCGTGACGATATTCATATAAAATCGTCGAAAGTTGTTTAGTTTGAGGTTATGTAGGTCATATATCGATTCAAATAAATATTTTACTTTTAGCAAAGGGAATTCGAATGGGTCTTAAAACAAGAAATACACATTGGATTAGAGCAAATACATAAAATTTTAGTGGTAAGATAAAAAGTAGTTTATTTTTTATAATGGTTTCTGTTCTAAAAAGTTTCATTTACTAGTATTAGGTATATTTAAAAGCTTCATAATTTTCTTTTTGTTTGTATAATTAGTAGAAAAAAAGCTATTAAATTTTTTTAATATTAGTATGTACTTAATTTAATGTCGTTTTAAGGAATGTGCAAAAAAATTTCCTGTACAGCTATATGGGAATGATAACTCGCTGAAAAAGGACAAATTTGTTCTTTCAGTAACTCCTGAAAATTTAAAATGCATTGTTACGCTTACAGGAGACAGTATCACCCATGCAGTAAGTTTGCACAATAATGAATAATTTTTTTTGTAAATGTGTATTTTAGGACATAAATTTTAAAGTAACCAGACAAACTACAACAACAATTGTTCGTACATCAATACAAAACGATTTTCCATGGAAATTGCAGCAGGTCCAAGATGCAGCTAATCATTTACAACAAGCCATATATCACATTGATGACGTAGGAAAAAATTACAAATTCAAGTAAGCAACATTCCATTCAATAAAATTTGTTTATGTATGACATTTTTTATATCTAATATCTGATTGATTTTGATTTACTGTCTAGATTTATTAATTGGGATTAATTTAGATTAAATTTAGATTATTTCAAGTGCTGATGTTTTGACAAAAAGCATGTGTATGATTTGTATCCTGATTATTTTATTATTCATTATATAATGGGTGATAAGGTCATGTGTAATGCAATATGCATTGCACTTAGTATAATTACATTTGTTTAATAATTGCTGTATGCAGAAAGGATAGTTAAGATTTGTTCAAACATTTTATAAGGTTTTATTATTGTCAACTGTTACTACCAAAAAGTATTTGGATATCTCCTAGGCTGTAAAAATAATTTAGACCAATCAGGGGAAGATTTTTTACTTCCTAGCCTGTAAAAAAATCCATCTAAACTCACTTTATACTTTTAATAATTGTTATTATAATTGTAAGTACATTTTTTGTATTGTTTAACAAATAAAACTGTGCATTGAAGGCTGAGACATCTCCACCTTATGACAAAACTATTTAATAATTAGTTTAAACTAGGCATTTTATTACCTATTATTTAAAAATTAAAATTATAAAGAAAAATCGTCAAATATGTACATATATGTAATTATTAACTATTCTGTATGAATACAGTCCTAGGTAAAATTATAAATATTTATATTTACACTTTTTAATATATGACTCATTGTTTTTAATTCATTAAAAATGGGACAAGCAAGCTTACACAAGGATTTTAATATTTGCTTTAATTATACCTATACACATTATTTTAAATCTAAAAATAATTTTATCATTTTATATGCAACTACTTGGTTTAAAAATAAATAAATGCAAAAATTAAATAAAAAAATGATTGTATTAGAAATTTTACATATTTTATGAAAGTTTAACCAACATTTGTCAAAAACAAAATATTAACATAAAAGGTTTATAAAAATGTTTGTTAAATTTGTGGAATATATTTAATGAAAACGATTATCAAAAACCTGTTTGTCGTATCTTTTTACCGATTAATTTACTACTTCTTTTAAAAAACACTAATTTTATATTATTTATAAATGCCAAAGTGTGTTTGTAGGTTTGTCCAAAGGGTGATATAGGGTACTTTTATCCCGAAAAAATGCACGGTTCCTGTAGGATAAATCAAAATTCAAATTTATGCGATATAATTCCGGAGAATTCGCCATTTTTTTGGTATTTAACGGCTGAACGGATTTTGTTGAATTTTAGTATAGATTTCCTATATGAGTTTTTTAACTTAAAAATAACCCTGTTACCTAGTTCATATTGCTTCAAGTCTGATTATATAGTTTATGTCTCATTGGAAATTAATGTTTCATCTCATAAAAAATGCATTTAATGGTTTTTAATTTAACAATAATTGATTAGCACAACAATTTATTGGTTAATTAATTGTTATACTTATGTTAACATCACACCAACTGACAGTAGAAATTCAAAATTACATTCTGTCATAGCATTTTTGTTAAATATTGATATACACTCACGTGCAAAATAATCGATCCACACAAATTTTCGATGAATTTCAATCGCAAATAACTTTTTTATTTGATGTCGAATTTAAACGAATATTAAAGAATATTGTAGATAAATTAATGGACAATCTTAACAAACTTAATTTAGAACAATATACGGTTTTGCCACTCTACAGAGTGTCTTAAACTTATGGTAAAAAACATATTTTTGTTTAAACCTGTATATTATAAACGTACGTCTATTTTTTAGTATTTTTTTAAAATGTGAGCGATTGTCCATTAATTTATCTACAATATTCTTTAATATTCGTTTAAATCCGACATCAAATAAAAAAGTTATTTGCGATTGAAATTCATTGAAAATTTGTGTGGATCGATTATTTTGCACGTGAGTATATATATATATATATATATATATATATATATATATCGTCCCCGTTCTGGCAAAAGTCATTAACTCCATTTTTGTCTAAAAGTAGTTAACTACCTTCGCGATCATAGAACAATTATATCTGTGGTCTAGAAAAACTTATTAAGTGCAGTATTGTATTTTTAGCATGCTAAAATTACAATACTGCACTTAATAAGTTTTTCTAGACCACAGATATAATTGTTCTATGATCGCGAAGGTAGTTAACTACTTTTAGACAAAAATGGAGTTAATGACTTTTGCCAGAATGGGGACGATATATATATATACAGGGTGTTATGTAATTAATGTAATATATTAAAATACTGAATACCTTTTGACATAAGGTGTAACGAAAAAATATTTAAAAAAATATTTTCCCAAAGATAAAGAAAAAATATGCATTAAAAGTTTTTTATATTTTTTGTGATATGCCACTGGTTACACACTTGGTTTATCTCTGCAAACTTGTGTTCTGTGAGTACATAGATACCAACCAACAAAGTAGCTGCGCGTTGCCAGTTGTAAAAAATTGTTACTGAGAATTCTTCTTGCAAAAAATAAATAAAAACTCAATAAATAGTTGTATGCCCTTAAAGCTCTAATACCCTCTGTATTTATTTACTCATCCAGCTATTATCTGGCTTCTTGGTTTAAAATGAATAAATTACAATAATAATAAATAAATAAATTAAAAAACTGAGTCTTTTAAATGTTAGTTTAATAATTACTTTGTAGTAATTAAAAATAATTTATTCTTAAAGATCTTCAGACGAAGTTCTCCATATCCTTGGAGAAATTTTGGGGAGTCTCCAAAGAGGCAGGACCAGTCTTATAGTTCCTAGAAAAAAAGCAATTGATGACTTGATGAAAAGCAGAAACATGGTATGGAAACAACAAAAAAAATCAAAAACAAAAATTACAACAACAAAATTATTTTGCAGAAATCCTTGTCGCCCAACTTGGCGGAGGACTTGGCGATCAGTTTCTACATTCAAAGTCACAAGTTGATTTTCGCAATCTACCAGTTAACCAATCAGCACGGCACGATGCAGTACGAGTCCAGTCACGCCGAATGTTCGGTGCCGTGGTTGAACGAAGTTTTGGTGTTCTTCACCGTCAGCTTACAGCTGTGCCAGCAACTCAAAGATAAGGTAAATGGGTTTAAGAGTCCAGAGATATTTGATCCAAAGATTTAGGAAAACTATAGATTTTAAGATTGAAGTCATTTTTTGATGATTTATTAACTAATTTATTTTTTCAGATTTACGTTTTTTCACAGTATAAAGATTTTACTGTCGGTTCGCGATCGGTAAGTCCCTATCCCACATAATAATCTCAAAAATCTGTGGATTTTTCGAAACTTTGTAGATAATTAATAATTATGATATTGTCAATTTATATATCGCTGTATATAAAATAGGAAATAATTTTATCGTTTATAGACCATCGACTTTTTTAATTGTTTAAGAAATATATTATTTATTATATTATAGATTTTTTTCTTGTTAAATGACTAAGATTTATTTTGTTCAAACAAAGAAAGATTTAGTCAGTATTAATTAACCTGTATTATTACCTTAAATTTTAGACTGTATAAGTTAATGTTTTAAATTGTTTTAAAACCAACCATATCAGTGATAGTATATAGTAAATAAGTGTGTACTGTAACGTGTATGTCGCCGGATTTTTCTTATATAAAAACGTCTAACGACAATAATAAAATGTTTTTTAAACTTTCACTTGTTTTGAAATTTGTGATTGTTAAAAAAAGCAATAAAGTCACTGTTACAAGAACCATGTTTTAATTAGTTATTCAGAAGATTGGTGGAACTATTAATTTTTATCAACATGTACAGTAGGTACCTATGACATTTGTTCTACTGTATTCAATCTCCAGACCTCAGTATGTAAGCGTTTTTTCTGCGAGGGTACTTAAACTAAAGTGAAAAATATCTAGGAGAAGGAATTTAAATCAAACAAACGTGGTCAAAATTGATACTTTATTTGGTTATTCAAGAACAAAGTCCGTCATAGTTTTCACTACATGTTGTGCCTGGCGGACATTCCGAGCATTTACTGCCCGAAATAAATACTGGATTGTTTATAAAGTTACCAGCTGGTCCATAATTGCAAATGATGAGAAATTGGTTTTTCTCAGATGATGATCTTGCACATCCAATTTTATAGGATTCTGCCCAGACGAATTGCGTAAAGTGGCCAATTACTGCGCCAGGTTTATGCTTGTTTTGGTAGTTGGCATAATTACTGTTATCCATATCTTTGATTTCATCGTACCACATCTTCAATTTGTAGATTTGGTTTTCAGAAAGCCATGATTGCCAGAAAACACTTGATGACGACTGGTATATATTTTGCCCAACTCGCGTAAAGGCCGGGGTGCGCCTGCATTTGTCGTGTGAGAACATGCATTGGTTGGCATGACATTCCGCCATTTTTTCCAGATCCATGTCGTACGACATCTCGCGCATATTGGCCACCTCGCCTTTGTACAGTGGTTCCGTACCGCTAGCTATTTTGCTTCTTAGTTTGTTGTGCACGTCGAGAATTTTTTGACGAATCTCGTCTGTCATTGCATGGTTTTTACAACCTTGTACTGGCGAACAGTCTTCATGTAAACACCTGGTGTTGACTTCATTTTTGATTTTACCTTTTTCATATTTCTCGCACGTCAGTTCGCAGTAGTCAGTAGCAAGCGATACAGCGACGCACGCTAGGAAAAATAATAAAAAAAACTTCATTTCAAAAATTGAACAACATACTACGACTAAGAATCAATTTCATAGGGTTTTATACCTTTGTCATAATAAAAAAAAGCTATAAATTCGTTCGAGTTAAATTGAATTTTTTAATCGCAAATTTAAAATATTAACGAGCTATCCGTTTATTATAATCCTTTTGAAATTGTCCAACCTGATAGCTAGCGATCAAATCGGATTTGCTTGATAATTGGATTCGTAACACTATGTTCGAATTGTGCCGTATTAAATCCCATACAAAGGGTGTAGATTTTTCGGGAACTCCTTCCTTTGTTCGTAACTTCTTCCATAGAGGGCCATAGGAGTACGAAACCAGGACAATTTAGAAAACACTTTATAAAAAGGTTAATGCAGTGTTTTAAATTCGATTTCAAATAGTGTAACGGAATTTGTTTTTAAAGTTACACTTTTCTGGCGCGCTGAGCAGGCGATGGAAGTCACGACTATGAAAGTTTAAAAATGTTTTGGAAAAATTGCACAGTAGTATAAATTAAAAAAATTGGAGGAAAAATTTTGAGTAGGATATATTCAAAAAAATTAAAGGCATACATTTTTTTAATTTGCACAGTAGCACACAAAATATTGTAAGTATATATCATTTTGTCATCAAAATTGTCAAACATATTCTTCCTTTATCAGACTACGCATTTAATAAAAGTAAGGCAAGAAATGTTTTTTATTAAAAGTAGAGATAATTTTAATAAAGGAAATATGTGGACGGGACAAACAATATTTTTGTCCATTAATTAAATTATCTCTACTTTTATAAAATATTTTCTTGCGTTTCTTTTATTTATGTATATATACATAGGCTATAGCCTATTAAAATAGAAATATTTTTGACAATTTCAATGCCAAAATAATATACAAAAAATTCCCTACAATTTTTTTTATAAAACCAGATTTGTGATTTGTCACTAGCGTAAATTTAAAAAACGATAGAAAAAATTCGCAGTGACCTACATTTTGAAAAAATAGTACCTAGGACAAATTTTCAATGGGATATTAAAAAAATGGTGGAAAAAATTTGCACAGTAGGATAAATTTAAAAAATAGGTAGAGAAAATTTGCACGGTGGCATAAATTTAAAAAAAAATAGTAGGAAAAATTTGCATTTAAAAAAATTGGAAAAATTTCCACGCAAAGTAGGAAAAATTTAAAGAAATGTGTCCATGGACAAATTTGCAAATTGCAATAGGTACATATAAACAAATTCGCATAAACTACAAAAAATGGTAGGGTAGCACAGTAAATAAAAAAAAATAGGACAAATTCACTAGTATCAATTTAAAAAGGACAAATTGCGCAGTGGCATGCATTTAAAAAATGTTTAAAAAATTCACACAGTACTCAGTATAAATTTAAAAAAATTATGGAAGAACAAATTCGCGAAAATTTAAAAATAGTAGGACATGTTTGCACAGTAGTGTAAATAAAAAAATAGCATAAAACATTCGCAGATTGGGATACATTTAAAAATAAAAGAAATTCGTTCATTTTTAAAATAGTAGAACAATATTTTAAAATTTTTCAATATTTTCAAAAATTTTATTTATCCAAAGGTTTACAAAATTTTGAATCAAACCTTTTTATATATATTTAATATCTTCCTTCGAACTTTTTATCGTTTTTCTACTTCTAATGCGCGATATAAGTACACCCACAGTTCTTTGTAAATAAGATAATAAAAAAAACGATTTAATTTAAAATATATATGTGTTGGTGTAAAAATAACAACAAAAAGGTTTGAAATAAAATAAATTTTCCGGGCGTGAAACAATTGATGGAAAAAACATTTTAGTAATAACTGGAGCATTATACAGCAAATTGGATTAAATAAGTATATCGCATATAAATCGAAAATTAGAGCAGCGTACAGTTTAAAGTTGGCCCATATTCTTTATAAAATATTTTTAGCACCTAACTTTTACAGGGTGATGCGATGAAATGTACTCGATATATCGAGTATATTATATAGTTCCAGACGATTTTGCCGATAGGCACGTGCGTCAGTGTAAGTAAAATTATAGGGACTTAAAATATGTTAAGACATTTCAACTTTTCTGATCAAATAAAACAAGCTTGGTCAAAATTGAAACTTTTCGTGGTAAGAATCATAAGTGTCAGAATCCATATATTTAATTTCTCTAGCCTTTACCATCTGCGTTTCATTTGCTGGAAAGCCTAAAAAGAAGATAGAGAAACACAAACGGAAAAAAAATATCAAAAAACCTTCATTTTGTCAAAATTGTTACTAATTTTATTGGTTTTATTTATAGTTTAATCAGTAAAAATATATAAATTGGGTCGATTTAAACTCAATTTTTACATCGCAAAAAATCAGCGGGTTTTTTATCGAATTACAAGTGTCTTATGGAGATCCACATATTCTATGCTCTAAGAGTTTATAAAACATGGATATTATCCATGTTATTTTGTTCGGAATTTGACCAGGGCCGGATTAAGCCAAAAGGGGGCCTGGGGCTAAAAAATGTTGGGGGCCCTCAAAGTTCTTTATTAAAAGAAAAATGTAATTTTTAGTAATAATAATAAAAAGCCAATAAAAAACAACTTAGGTATTTATTATTGATCTTTACAACGATTTTTTTCGAGCTTTTCTATTAGAAAATTCGTCAATTAGATCATCAAAGTTTAATGAAGACAAAAGGTCATTCTCAATATTCATTAAAGTTAAATGAGATAATCTTTCATCACCCATGCTAGCTCTATATTTGTTTTTTATAAATGAAAGTTTTGAAAATGACCTTTCTGCTTCACAATTTGTTATTGGAATGCATAAATAAATTCTTAAAGCTATATAAATTTTTGGAAATACTTCTAATAAATCCTTTTCAATTAAAAGGTCTAAAAGGAAAGGAACACTAATAAATTTTGAAAATATATTTTCAAAATTAATATTCTTTTTAAAATTTAAAAATAGGAGTAGTTTGCATTTGTTTTGTTAGTTTTGAGCCTATAGTTTAAACTTTACTTTACTATTTTACTATTTACTATTATTAATATTAATTGTACCTAATGGTAAAGTATTTGTCATATCGATATCGAGGGTAAAATGGTATAAAGGGATACCATTTTATTTTAAGTAAATTAATCGTAATTTGGTTGGAACTGATCTTACCTTACGTTTAGCAAATCCGCTAAGGTATTTTCTGCCACTTGACATTTTTTTCTCAACTTTTTATTACCTTACCTCATGCACGCACAGTGGAAATATAACTAACTAACCCAAGTAATATCCATAAATAAAGCGTCTAATTTTTTACCATCCTTTGGCGGCTAGCCGTCAAAAGATTAATTGTTTTAAATGTGCCGTGCGGCCGCGGCCTTTTGACACACTTTGGTCTATCGGCGACTATTAAAGGGTTGATAAAATAAATCATCTTTTAATAAGTACCGATCGGCTACTGTCGGCCGCTAACAAAACATGACAAATTATATTTCAGTATGTTTTTTAATAAACAATATTATAGTAGTTTTATTTTATGTAGGAATTAAAAATGTGTACCTATTTAATATTTTGTTTAAAAAAAATTCTGTCGGTGGTGTCGGGGGCCCCGAGTGGCGGGGCCTGGGGCTATAGCCCCCCTAGCCCCCCCCTTAATCCAGGGCTGAATTTGACACATGTTGGTGATATATGTCAATATACTTTGGTATGTTTAATATTTAAAATTGGTACTTCTGTGTAAGGGCTTAATTTTAAATACTTGGCATTAATCAATTAATTGTCAAAATACAATATACCGCCAAAGAATTTATAAATTCTTATCAAATAAACCTTTCTACTATAGTAGTAGTTCCTTTGTATTTTTTTTTTGTAAATTTATTAATGTTTTATTATAACATTTTAGGATAATTTATAATCATTCATGTAAAGTATTATTATGGTGGATTAAATGTGGTTTGTTTATATTTATTGGGTCGGATATTCCACGATTATCGGAAATTTTTATCCCGACCGTCAGAAATTGTATTGTGACGGTAGGCATAACAATTTCTGATTATCGTGGAATATCCTTATCTAATAAATATATACCTACCACATTTAATCCACCATAATACTTCACTTATCCATTAAAAATTATTTAAATAACCCCTATAGAATCTTTAACACCACATATCAGAACCTTCAGCTTGCCACATTTATACCTTTAATCTGCCATAGAACCTTTAGCGCGCCATATCAAAAAATTGAATGGTTCTTGTATGTGCCTACCCTAGTTGTTGATACCTACCCCCAAAATATTTAATTAATAAATAATAATACAAAAATATCTAAATTAAATATTTTGACAAGCTATCATATCAATGATCAATTGATATTAAACATTTTCGAGAACTTCTCAGGTAGTTCTTAACTTCTCCCATAGAGGGCCTAGGAGTACGAAACCAGAAATATTTCATGACTTTTTCAAGCAATAGTTTAGAATACACTGTATAGAAGGGGGTAGCTTTTAATTTAATTTTGTTTCAAAATTAGATACTAATTATTGCCAAACAAACAACGGATTTCGGGTTTTATTGAACAATACAATATTAATGAAAATAATTTTGACCGTTGGTTAACTGTTGCTAAAACTGCACAGGTTGAGAAAAAATGCGACAAATTCTACAAAATAATTTTATCATGCAAAATGTTTGTGCGAAAATGCTGCCGAAAATTTTCATAACCACAATCGTTTCTGGCCAAGTATAACATCCTAGTGTTAGACCATTCGCCTTATTCGCACGATGATCTGTTTCCTAAGGTCAAATCTGCATTAAAAGAAACCAGATTTAATACTGTTGAAGCTGTAATAGAAAAATCGGCAAGTAACATGAACAAGCTCACTGTTGATTTAACCGTCTTTGTAGCTCAGATAATAACGAAGCAATGGTGAGCAGAAAACTTTGGGTTATTAATCGTATATGTATAAATTTAAAATAAGAACTTTTAAAGATCTGTCTCGTTATTTAATAGCGTGTTTATTTTAATAATTTTCACCATTTACAAGAAGAAGCTTCCCATACAGCACAAGATGTCCATTGGACATCAAATGGACTTACATTGGACGTTTGGATGTACATTTGACGTCCAATGGACATCTTGTGCTGTATGGGTTGATGATTTAACAGGGAAAATTTAATAAAAAATATTAAATATTTTGTTTCTCTCAAACATTGAGAGAGCTTGATCGGTAAGTTTTATTGTAGATATCCACTGTACATCCTAAAGAAGCATGTGAAAATCATTTTTACCCAAAAAACCATATATGTAAGCAATGGCTTAATTAATCAAAAGTTTTTAAATTAAGTTAAAATTATGGGTAAAAATCTGGAAGAGTGAGGTTTATGATTGTCAAAAACAAGCAATAAAGTAGCTGTTGCAGTATTTTTATTTAACTAGGTACTTAGACACAAAGGCCATCATATTTTTGGCTACATTTTGTGCCAGCCGGACACTTTGAGCATTTTGGGCCCGTAAGAAACACGTGTGCACCACGTATGTTACCACCTGGCCCATAATTGCAAACAATGAAAAATATAGATGATTCGCCTTTAGAACAGGATCTTGCACATCCAATTTTATAGGATTTGCCCCAGACGAATTGCGTGTAATGCCCAACTTTTTTGCCCTTGTCTTCGGGCTTACCTTGGTAATTATCATAATCAGTAGGATCCATGTCTTTAATTTCATTGTACCAAGCCTTTATTTTCTGAGTTCTATTTAAGGAGAGCCATTTATCATCAAATATTTTACCGGAAACCTTGAAAATATTTTGACCTACGCTTGGAAATTCCTCGGTTTTTCGGCATGTGTCATGCCCCTTCTTGCATTTGTTGGCATGACATTCCGCCATCTTTTCCAGTTCCATGTCGTACGACATCTCGCGCATGTTGGCAACCTCTTTAGGGTATAACGGTTCCTTACCGGTCGCCAATCGACTTCTTACACGGTTGTGCAAGTCCACGATTGAGTTCCGAATCTCATCCGTCATCGGATGGACTGTACAGTCTTTGACTGGTGAGCAGTTACATCTTGAGTTTTCTTCAACTATTGTTTTATTATTTTTTACTGTGGTACACGACAGTTTACAGTAGTCAGTCGCAAGCGATAGAGAAACACACACGGCAAAAAATATCAAAAAAACTTTCATGACGTTAACAACGTTACTACACGAGGCATATAAAATGCTATCGGTTTTATAGGTTTATTTTAATAATTAAAAAGCTATAAATTTGGTCAATTTAAACTAAATTTTAACATCGCAAAAAATCAGCGGGTTTTTTTTATTGAATTTGCGTACCCACGTAACGTATCATCGTTGCCAACGGTCCGGGGTTCATGAATGGGGTTTGGGTGGTTAGTTCGCTGCTTGAACCTATCTTGATGGTCTTGACGTACTATCTGTTCGTTTACAGCCGTGTCTGTTAAAAATTACTGTGCTGAAAGTTCTGGCACTGCAGTCCGCAATTGTTTGCCCCACTGTGCGAAACCATTTATTCAGTCTAGTCGGTAGTATCTGAAAATGCTAAGTACGGAATTATTTAAATCACAGGAAGAAGAGGTTTCATAGAAGGGCCAGCAAGATTACCAGATTTAACACCTCTATACTTTTTCCTATGGGGACATCTAAAAAGCAGGGTGTTTAAAACACAACTGGCTAAGATGAATCAAGAAACAGAACAACTGAAGAAATTAGGAACATAACACCGGAGATTTTTAAGAGTGCGAGAACAATTTTACAGTAGATTAAATGAACATTTATATATATTGAATTTGAATTTTTAATTAATTTTAAAATAAAAAGAATAGTTTTTTAAATATATCATTACATTCTATCCTGTATTGGCAACTATGTTTACTAAACCCTACTTTTGTGGTATCGCAGTACTCAGAAAAATGTGCACTATCAATTTTGATGAAAAAAGTGGGGTTGTTATTTAATATAAATGTGCATAATGTGGTAGGGGCAAAAAATTTAAAAGTATAATTATATTATTTATATAAGATTTAAAATAAAATTTACGTGTCTGAACGTTTAAAAAAAAAATCATCGAATAACGAATTTTATCCGAAATCAGCAGTAAAGTAGTCAACAATCGGTTAAATAAATCGGCATTATTTATTTATTTATTTATTAAATTTAACACTGTATCATAGTTTAACAAAACAGTTTTATAAAGTAGAACTTTACTGCCGATTTAATACGAATATTGTATGCATTTTAAGATGTGTCTACTGCTCCTCAGCAACAACTAAATAATATTTAAAAAAATGTACCGTCGCGGAGGTCGATTGGACCCTTTCATAAAATGTTGTGTAATAAAAATAATAAATTAATTTTATTAATTAGATTAAAAAATCGCCGCAGCGCGCAAATATATAATAACGGTCGCAACAAACAGTATACGTAGACACTTACTACATTCAAATGACATTTGAATTGATCATCAATATTAATTATTAGTATTATTAAATGTGATTTCGGATAAAATGTAAAGTCATTTTTTATCACTCCCGTGGTTATTTGCCTCGGCTTTCGCGTGTGTCAAATTTTATCAGATTTATTTAAATCCGCTGAATTTTCTATTTGCTAAGGTGTAACAATTATTTTTTTATGTAGAAAACGTATATTTAAATAACTCTGGACAAGAAAATCAATGGTTTAAATTAGCTTCCGTTTTATAAATAATCGAGTCGATTTAAATTCGCTACATGAATTAGCACTATGTTTAAATTGTGCCGAATTCAATCAATCGCATCCAATGGAGGTAGAATTTTCGAGAACTCCTTCCTTAGTTCGCAACTTCTCCCATAGAGGGCTGTAAGAGTACGAAACCAGAATATTTCATGGCATTAAATTCAGGCAATAATTTAAAACACACTGGGTAGCACAAGGTAATTCAATACAGTGTTTTAAATTCGATTTTAAATCGTGTAACCCAATTTGTTTTCAAATGAGATAATTGCCTAAAAACTATTTGTCCATTAAATCTCCTTTTTGCATTTAAAAAAGGTATTATTTAATTACAAAAAAACTAAACTCCGATTGTGCCCAGTTAGTGTAAAGATTAAAAAAACGAGTTGAAATAAAATAAATTTTCCGGGCGTGGGAAAACAATTGATGGAAAACGAATTTCAGTCATAACTGGAGCATAATACAGCAAATTGGATTAATGAAGTATACCGCATATAAATCGGAAATTAGAGCCGCCTACAGTTTAAAGTTGCCCATTTTATCTATAAAATAATATGACAAATATTTCCCCATTTTAACATGTATCAATAAATTTATTAAAAAAGTTTAATTTTATTTTACAATTATTAAATACAAACTTCTGTTATTTTATAATAAACAGGTTTCATATAATATAATCAATAATTATATTATAACATTATTAATTAGCAACTTTTTTTTGTTTTTTTCTTAATCCCGGTTATTTTTCGTCAAGGTTACTTTTCGACCAAATTTTTCCGTCCAATTTTGTCCGTTAATTGCAAATCTAAATTTGGGAAAAGTTGCTTCTTAAAAATGGGTCGGATCCATTAAAAACTTTTCGAAAAAAAAAAACACGATTTGAAGGGCGATTTATACATATATACGTAATATAATTATTAAATAAAAGGTTATCTCGATAACTAAAAAATATTTATTTTTTGCGCAATTAAAAATACTATACAAAACCGATGTGTAGGTATATATACGAGGTTTTTGAAAAAAATATTTATTTAATCGTCTACATTAATGTTGTCGCCTTCAAAATAGTCCCCATTGGATATTATGCACATGTGACAGCTCTTCTTCCAATACTCGAAACACTTCTAAAACTCGATCTTTGGGATAGCCTTTAGTTCTTTCAGCGATGCGCTTTTAATGTCATCTATGCTTGCAAAACGACGGCCCTTTAAGGTTCTATTTATATTTGGGAATAGGAAAAAGTCAGACAGAGGCATGTCTGGCGAATATGGAGGCTGGGGGCATCATTACAGTATTGTATTTAACCAAAAATTTTGCTGCCACGCGTTTCATACCCAAAACATTCGAAAAAATTTCATGGGATGAGCCAATCGATATACCAACATCATCAGCGACTTCTCTGATGGTTTATAACCATTTCTTCCACTTTTTCCATGTTTGTATCGGTTGTTAATGTGCTTGTGCGTTCGGGGCGTTCGTCATCTTCAACGTCTTCACGGTCATCTTGGAAACTCTTATACCACTTGTTTTACTTATAGCAGACTCACTATAGGTCTTTGTTAACATTTCACAGAATTTATTTAATTTTTTAAGCAAAATTGGATACAAATTCTTTGATCCATTTCTTTTACCGAACGAAAAACGCCGAGCTCATAAAACACGTCTAACCTTAGCGGCTGCCACAGACAAAAAAAATGAAATCAGCTAAAGTTTTTATCATACTTCGGGGGCATGTATACCAACATAATAAAGAAAATTATTTGACAACCGGACCCTCCGAACACGCGAAATTTAACAATTCCCGTTATTTTCTGAACACACCTCGTATATCTTATAAACATATATTTAAAACTATAAAATTAATAATAAACCACTGCTAAAATTTTAAAAAATCGGTAATTACCTGTTATCAACATAAAATATAAAAATATTAACAACAATTGTAAAAAGTATAAATAAGTCGGTATGGTTTATATTTTAACCAAGTAATATAAATGCAATTGACTCATAAAATATAAAATCCTTAAATTGCTTTTCATGGGCGTGTTATCATGGTAAATTTAATAAAAAAAATAATGTAATTATTTGCGCAATTTATGTAAAGATAATAACAAGAACATTTAAAAAATATTGCATTATCTAACGAGGCTCTTATATGCTTTCTCCGCCGTGTTGAATATACCTACTATTTTTTTCAAGCATTTAATAATTCTGTACTTAAATTAAAACTATCGAGTTTGCGACTTTTTGTCAGGTTTGACGTTTGACATATGTTATGTTGTAGGTTATGTACATGAATTAATTTTACAGTGACCTGTAAAAATTTTCTTTGCTGATTTCGAGCTACACGCGATAGATGGAACCACTTTTTTTATGTAATTTCAACGTATTTTCATTATTGTACGGCGGTGTGTAATAATTTGACTTTTAACTGCGTACAAAAATAAAGTATTTCAATATAGGCTTATGAGTGTTATAATATGAAAATTTGTATACTCTTGAAATTTTTTGTATGTATTTTAATGAATTATTTAAATTTATACAAACCCTATACGTAATATTAAATATAAGGTTATTTCGACAACTAAAAAATAATTATTTTTCGCGCAATTAAAAATACTAACAAGTCCCATGTATACAAATATTTTATTGACTTTTATTTGTTCCGCCCATGTCCCATCATAAACCATTCATGGTCATTATACCATTAGTTACGTGAAGGTCGTTTCTAGTCTCTCTTAAATTCATTCAGTTTAAAATCGTATAAACTTTCTTCAAAAAACTCATAAAAATCGTGGTGAGAAATTTTCAATAATCCAAATGTGTTGTTAAAATAACCAGCAGCATTTTAGGGAGAGAAATAATTACAATACTGCGGTGAGTAGGAAATGTTTTACATTTTATATGTCCATGAAATTTCATAATTTAACCAAGTATTACTTACGGTAGAGCGATTTTATTATAATTTCTAACGGGCTGCATTATAACACTACCTTTTATTTTTGCTTGTTTGTTATTTGTGCTTTTTTGTGTGTAACTTTTCTGTACAATGAAAAAACTTTTTTTGTGTATATATAAATAATAAAATTAGAGCGCACGCCGCTGTGCTAAAGAATCTCCTTCCAGTGACTGTTATCGACAACGTAATGTGACCAACTCTTAACCTTAGAAAATCCCGACCCTTTAAACCGAGTGTTTTCGAAATTCACCACTTAAAAGACCTGATAAACGTAAGTCGATAAATTTACCTTATTTTCTTGTTTGGATAGTTCGTTTTAATGAATAATTAGAAACATTTATTCGTCTGTAGGTTAGATTTGCGTAAGCGTATAAATATAGCAGGAACTGCAGGAGCATGCGCGCTAGTGCTCAACACATAGGCGGGTCAATAACCAGGTCAAGATGTCACTTTAAAAATTTAGCCAATTTTAATGGAAATTCCATGTTTTGTTATTTTATTTACTCACGCCGTAATTGCTTTACTGTGTTTATTAAATGCTAAAAAGTTTTATTTGTTTTAGAAAAAATGTCGAATTGTAAAGTTTGGGTTGACAATTACAATGGGGCCTTCTTGCCCGGATCCCTTATCCAAGGAAAGTTTATAATTAATTTGGATAGTGAAACACCTTTAAGATGTAAGATATATTAAATAAGATATATTAAGTGTGACATGAGGGGCGGGGGAGTGTCTGAATCATACGTAAAATTGCAATTTTAAAAATATTTTTGTGATTTTTATTTTGTAATTATTATTATATACAGGGTGTCCTTTTTCAAGGCTATGGTTATTTCTCTTATATTGAGAGATACATAGTTGTTAATGACAATAATATGAGTCTTTCAATAATATAAAATAATATGTGGGGCATTCCACTAAATATTTTGTTAGAGTGTGACAAAAACTGATACTAAATATCAGAGCTGGGGGCAGTTACTTCTGAAAAGTATCTAGTTACTTTTCTAAAATACTAAACAAAATAACATAGTTACCTCGAGTAACTAGATACTTTGAGTTGAAAGTATCTTTAGTTACAATTGTAAGGTACTTTAGAAAGTATCTAAGATACTATCAGAAAGTATATAAGATACTTATGAAAGTATCTAAGATACTTTTGATTTAAAAAGATACTTCCAAGATTTATCTTGGTTACTTGAATGTATCTTAGTTACTTTACCGAGTAACTTAGATAATTTTTAAGATGCAAGTTACAATATAAAAAGTATCTAAGATAAAGTATCTTAGATATTTTAAGTATCTAAGTTACTTTTAAGTATCTTTTTTTTAAGATACTCCCAGGTCTGTTACATATATTAAGACGACTCAAACCACATGGTTATTTTTCGCCAGATAACTAAGTGGACAAAAACTAAAATAAAACAAATTTTAGCGGTAAAAATAAGGATCATAGGCACAGAACACACAGAATGGCTGGGAGAGACAACCACCACAAACCCAACCGATAACTCTACCAAACACGAATCATGCAACTTTATAGGCGACAATAATTTTTTGATGCACGAAGTCATACTTTACGGAAATGGTAGGACAAAAATAACCACCACTGCAACATAGCTAAGTTGTTCTGTTATAGCTTCAGGTAGTACTCAGTTAGCAATGGGCCAGCACATCTACCCTTTCAGCTACACGTTGCCATTCAACCTACCATCCACTTACAACTGTCCCAAGGGTAATATTGTGTATAGAGTCCATGGTATTGTAGATAGACCCATGAGGACGGACTACGAGGATCAATTTTTATTTGTAGTGCATGCTCCGATTGATTTAAATCGCATCGAGCAAACACCGGAGTTGATGGTAATGATTTGATGTTTGAAGGTTTTTGGTTTACTGTTTGATTTAAGGGTCCTTCATCATACAGCGACGAGAAGCAGGTTTGTTGTTTTTGCTGTGCTTCTGGTCCGATTTCCATGGATATTACCATGGCAAGATTAGCTGCAATTCCTGGTGAAAGAATTCCGATAGCCATACGGATTTCCAATCAGTCCAACGTTAATGTTGATGCTGTTAAAGTCGTACTAAAAGAGGTGGTTTGGTTTATTTGAAGTAATTTGGAGTTAATAATGTTTATTTTTTAGAAAACCAGCTATATCGTGAACGCTCCAAACACCCAGGAGACAGAGGAGACAAAAGAAATAGCTACTGCTCAAGGAGTTGGAGTTGGAGCTCATGGCGAACATACTTTTAACGATATCGAGTTGATAATACCTCAAGAACTTTTTTTACCGAATTTCGATCAATGCAAACTCTTTAAGGTTTCTTATATCTATGAGGTAATACAATACCTACTAGACATTTATATGGTTACTATTTGGACTATTTTAGGTAAGATGTTGTCTACCATCGTACCATAGGGATCTTGTGGTGAAAATTCACCCAATCCTAGGAAATATACCACCTGGTGGTTCGTTACAAGGACCACCACCTGGTGGAGTACCTCCTCAAGGTTATCCTGCGCAACCTCCACAAGGTGGATATCCAGGTGCTCCTGCACCGGGGGGTTATCCAGCACCAGGTGGATATCCTGGTGAACCTTCAAAGGATGGTTACCCAGGTGCTCCTCCTGCACAAGGAGGCTACCCAGCTCCAGGGGGTTATCCTGCAGGACCTCCTCCGCCGAGTGCTTATCCTGGAGGTGCTCCTCAAGGAGGTTATCCTGCAGGTCCTCCGCCAGCTGGTGGATATCCGACTACCAACGAACTAGCTGGAATGGGTTTCATACAAACCGGTCCAGGTGGATACCCCATGTTACCTTCAGCTCCAAATCCAAATGGTAAGTGTTTTTTAAAGTAAATATTTTGTATTAATGCAAAAATTAAGATTTTACTCAAGCCCAGAAGAATGTTTGTAAGTTTATGCAGTAATTTATTAAATTTTTGCTAATATTAATATTTTTTTTCTTCTAGCACCACCTTCTTATGATTCCGTCAAACCTTAATAGTATTGCCTTAAAAACCTCATGACATTTTGGCAACGTTAAAATTTGTGAAATTAAAGCAGCTTAGTCATTTTTTGATGTTATACTCATGTATTTTATATATATACATTCATGTTTTGTAATTGTTTTTTATTTTAATAAAGTCTACACAGCTTTGAAATACCAATTTTTTTTTATAGCGGTGACAAAAATGCAGGAATTGTGCTTCAAATTGTTGCCGCATCCACTGTTTTCACTAGATTTGTCCCCCAAAGACTTTTTTCCGTGTCCGAACATGAAACAGATTTACGTTCGAACAAGGAGGTAATTTTTATAACAAATGCCTATCGACTTATTCAAGTTTTGATATATTTAAAAACTTGATGATTTTATTTAATTTTTTTTGTGGATTAGTGACGCCGATTTTGATCGTTCAACATCGTTTATTTCGATATCACGGTCGGCAACAAAATTTATAGAGTCGGTCGGGATTAGCGTTTGATTTAAAATGCGGGTAGATTATATATAACAAGTGAAAAGGTAATCATTAAAGCCGCTTTTAAACTGCGCAATAAATTTTGCCTAATCCCAGTGACACGGGTTTAGATGCAAGTGCAGACATGATAGCAGCCATTCGGTCGCTATATTATTTTTTAGCATCGAAAAAAATGCAGTGTGATTAAAAGTTTTTAATTGGAAATAATATGGACCACTTTACAATTCAAATGTATTTTTAATCAAATAAAAACGTTTTTTCAAAAATATATAACATTTTTGATTCAATGCGATATATGACCGATTAATTTAATATTTAATAATTGTTTAATACTAAAAATATATAGTAAAGTTAATAATAATACCAAACTCTTTTGAAGTCAATTAATTTTAACACAAAAACTCTTTAATTTGTGCATTATGCTGAACAGTTCTAGAAAAAATGTTGGTCACTAAAGAATTTCCAAAAGATAGCGTCAAAACCATAAATTATTGTCACGATTGACAAGCACCATCCTTCAAATGATAACTGTCAAAATTTTAGATCAATCTGTCAACAAGGTTTGATTTTATTTTACCTATTTTAGCTAAATTTTTATTTTTACCATAAAAAACAGTTTTTTTGTTAATTTGAGTTTATTTGGATGACTCATGCACTATGTAGTTATTTGTATGCTCATTTACAAAAACATTTTGTGCCGCTGCCCTAAAAAATAATAAAATTTATAATGGTATAATAATTTTACAAAATATATTCGTTATTTTCAATTTTTTTAAATAATAAAAATCTTGTTTAATAAAATTGTATACAATAATAAATTGACCACATAACCAGTACCTATTTTAAGAATTTTCTCACCTAAAACAAGAAAAAAGTTTATCTATATTTAGGTACCTATTATTATAAACAATTCATTCTAAAATCCTATATCTAATCATTATATTTTAAAGATTTGTTTTACGCAACTTAAAAATATTTTTTAAATTTTTTCAATATCCTTTTTCCTCTTCTAACGTGGTATAATAATTTTATAAGATATATTCGTTATTTTCAATTTTTTTAAATCATAAAAATCTTGTTTAATAAAATTGTATACAATAATAAATTGACCACATAACCAGTACCTATTTTAAGAATTTTCTCACCTAAAACAAGAAAAAAGTTTATCTATATTTAGGTACCTATTTTTATAAATAATTCATTCTAAAATCCTATATCTAATCATTATATTTTAAAGATTTGTTTTACGCAACATAAAAATCTTTTTTAAATTTTTTCAATATCCTTTTTTCTCTTTTAACGTGATTCTAAGGTAGAATTTAAATTCAGCCTTCTAGTTGATTAAATAAATTACCTAAATACTGTTCTATGTATACAGTTTTCCTTAAATGCTCCAAATAGTAACGGACTCAAGATTAAAATAAGTTATTGGAACTTTTACTAGAATATAGAATTTTTAGTAAAACCTAAAAAGACTATACAATAATTAGGTAAATACTCCTTGGAAACAGAATTAATTATACAAAATAAAAACGGCTAAAATTCATTAGTAGTCCGGTCAAATTAGACCAAAAAATAACAGTGAAGGTACATAAATTTACAACAAGCTGAAAATCAGTAAAATTGTTCAGAATATAATTATAAATAAAATTTTAAAGTTCCCCATCATTCCCCTGTATGGAAAAAATTTTATTCAAGGTCAAAGGTCAAAAAAATTAGTTTTTCGCGATTTTTAGCAAAACGGTAAGTTTTATCATAAAAATATCCCAAACAAAAATTGTAGATAATAAAATTATCTATAAAAAATGTATCAATACTTTTTTCCTACGAGCCACCGTTTCTGAGATATAACGATTCGAAAAGTTGTAATCGTCATAATATGCATGGGTACGCCACGTATATTTATCTCTAGAGTTGTAACATTGAGTTGTACTCAATGGTTGTAATATATGTTAAAATATTTTTCTATCGGCCATTTTAACTTACACTTAAAATATAAAGTATACCTACACATACCTACACAGATTTTAATTGGTTAACTTTTTTAAATACCCAACAAAAATTAAACGGGCTTCTGGCCGATTAGTTTTCATTCGATGAAGCTCATCTTTTAGTATGTCAAACTTTGGTCTTTTACCCATCGATTCGTGTATTTTCGGCCAATTTCGAAAATTTCTCTCGCCCTAAAAAACGTTTAAAAATTTTTCGAAAAAAAGAACGCTGTTCGAAAAGTTTCCGGCGGATCCGGCCCGTTAGCAATATTGATTTTTTCCGTTGTCTGTATATCCTTTTTTTTCTAAGCGCCGTAGCTCGGAGGCCGTTGAAGGTTGAAATTTGCATCCGTTTTTTCTGCCCAAGAGACCTATCCGCGGACCAAATTTTTCCGGTGTCGAAAAGGCCCAAGTCCACTTTTTTCGATTTTTCCGTCAAATTTGGCACGTTCCGTTGTCTTCGCTAAACTTTCGAACGAGCGGAGATTTTTCGGCCAAACTCGAGGAAAAGGTGCTTCGGGACAAGAAGTTATCACCAACGGCATTCGATTTCTTCTTTCTATATACGGAGCTCCTAAAAAAACTACCTGCTTTGATAAGTTTCGATATGCATGTTTCGTTAAAAATTCTAAAAGTAAAAACAAGTTCAATTAGCTTGTCTTCCTCCAACCTCAGTTGCTGCTCATCAACATCTTTTTCAGGTATATTACCAAGTTCAAGTGTGGCTTGGTTATCAGCTAGACCCTACAGACCAGAGACAAGGGAGTCTCTGCTACAGACTGGGGTTGGAAGTTGGTCAACAACACATTAGAACCAGTTCAAACTTTACTCCCACCTGCGCCGGAAAAACTTCTGAACACAATTTTTTGCAACTGCAAAAAGGGATGCAGTGCTAAATGTGGTTGCAAAAAAGTCGGACTGTTTTATTCTCTGGCATGTACGAATTGTCAAGGCCGGTCGTGCTCTAATGTTGAATTACCAACAGTGGAGGATTCATTTAATTCCAACGAGGTGACATGCGATACATCGCTATTGACGCAATTTACTTGTACCCAGGATGAAGATGAAGAAGAAGATCAAGAAGAAGAATTTAAATGTTACGAATCAGACGAATAAACTTCAGTACTTTTTTTAAATTTACATCGCTATTATCTTTTCCAATCATTGCTAATTTCCGTTATTTTGCAATAGTTTCAAATTAAACAGGATCACAACTGACTCGTGAAATAGGCCTACTGGGGAAACCACGTTAAAAAACTCATTAAGTAAACTACCTCATAGGTGGCGTGGAAACGTGTGCATATTATGGCGATTATAACTTTTACAACTTTTCGAATCGTTATATCTCATAAACGGTGGCTCGTAGAAAAAAAAGTATTGATACATTTTTTATATATTATTTTATGATCTACAATTTTTGTCTAGTGTATTTTTATGATAAAATTTACCGTTTTGCTGAAAATCGCGAAAAATCATTTTTTTTGACCTTTGACCTTGAATAAAAAAATTTCCATACAGGGGAATGATGGGGAACTTTAAAATTTTATTTATAATTATATTCTGAACAATTTTACTGATTTTCAGCTTGTTGTAAATTTATGTACCTTCGAATGTCTAGATTGACCGGACTATAGTAAATTGAATTACCTAGAAAATAATTAAATTTCCAGAAATAATATTAGTTTAAACAATAAGTTAGGAAATTAATTCGGCAAACTCAAAAACTGAAAACGGGACAAAAGGATGCTGAAAACAGAAACATATTCGTATGTACCAAAGCCAAATGTCGGATGGACATAAAGCATCAGCAGCAGAACTATAATTGAATAAAGGCGCTGATGAAATCCATCCGTAGGTAGGTAACGTAAACCAAATTGACGGTAGGTAGGCAAATCTATCATCCCGTGTAGCAGCATTGCAGCAGGACAAAAGGGCCGGTCGCAGGAAATTGAATAACTTTTTGGAATTGATAGCGAATCGAGGTAGGCCGGCCAGGCGGCCGGCACGGACGTGACGTTAATTATGACGAAAACAAATGCAACTCGTCTTTTGTCCGACTCTAAAGAGCAAACAAACACGTCATAATTGGCTTCGGATTTCAGCAATGGCGGAATGCTTTTTTGCAGGATTAACTTCATTAGCGCTCTATGAGCAAATCACTGCATCAACAAAAACTTCTTTTGTGCCGTTTTTCGGCAACAAAACGTTCTGGAATTAAATTTTATTACATAAAAATATTCTTTTATGATTTTAGTTCAAATATAAAGAGCTCCATCTCAGTGTTGGCTCGTCAGGGTAGGCCTCAAAATGAAGGTACTTTTTTTCACAAGTGTACACAATAAAACGCAGTGGCGGCTGGTGGATTTTGCATTTGCCATATCTCAGTTACTAGTCATGGGACCCACACCAAATTTATATGAGCTTATACACTGTTTAAAATATCTGTGGTGTAAAAAGTAATCTTAAAATGGTGTCAAAATCCAACACCAAGCGGTGTTAATATAACACCAAAGGCGGTGTGGATCACGTGATGTTCTTAAATCTCGCCTCTGTTGACTTACATGAAGAATATATAAACTTAGGTAATCCTTTGCTTTGGTGTGACACTACAAGTTGTTCGTTACTAAAGAGATCTTAAATAGGTGGAAACAGCTGTCAATACTTGAAGTATTTTAAGTTAGTGCAACGCACTAAAAAAATTATCTCTAGCGAGTTGAAGGTTTCATTTTCTGGAATAATACCACTGGTAATATACTA